GGAGCTGGCGGTGCTGGACAAGGCTCGACTCGAACTGGAGACGGACAACCTGTCCGCGGGCGAAAAGCTCAAGTGCCTGCAGCTGGAGAAGGAGAAGATCCTGCAGGATCTGGCCTGCGTCACCCGGGATCGCGGTGACATCCACAACCAGCTCACAGCCATGTGCCGCAAAAAGGAGGCTCTGAACGAGGAACTCATGCGGACGCGCCAGCGCTTGGAGCAAACCAACGAGACGAACAGTCGCCTGAACAGAAATCTGGAGGAGATGGTCAAGGATGTGGAGGAGAAGCAGGTGGTCATCGATCTGCATGAGAAGGACACGCATCGCCTGAACGAGCTGCTGGCCGCCCTGCGCTCGGAGAAGGAGTCCCTGGAGTCGGTGCTCTTCGACACGAACACCTCGCTGGAGGCCACCGAGGAGCGACGCAGCCAGCTGGAGCGGGATCTGCAGGAGGCATTGGTGCGCGAGGAGACGCTCAAGAACCATGTGGCCCGCCTGCAGAAGGATCTGGAGCAATGCCAGCGCAAGGCGCAGGAGACCAAGACGCAGCTGCTCAATGCCGCCCGGGCTGCCGAGAGTGACTTCAACCAGAAGATCGCCAATCTGCAGGCCTGCGCCGAGGATGCGGCCAAGCGACATGGCGAGGAGATCCTGCAGCTGCGCAACGCCCTGGAGAAGCGGATGCAACAGGCCCTGCAGGCCCTGCAAACGGCCAAGGACGACGAGATCGAGAAGCTGCAGGAGCGCCTGGCCACCCTGCAGGCCCACCTCGAGAGCCTGGTGCAGCAGCACGAGGAGGCCCTCATCCGGGCCGAGAGCGAGAAGCAGCAGGCGTTGCTGATCGCCCACCGGGACAAGCAGGCGGTGGGTGAGCGCCTGGAGGCCGTCTCCCGAGATCTCAAGACCGAGCAGGAGTCCCTCGATCGCAGCAGGCGGGAGGCCAATGCCCGCGACGAGAAGCAGAGGGCGGCCATCGCCCAGCTCAAGGACGAAATGGTGCACATGCGCACCAAGGAGGAGGAGCACAAGTGAGTAGTACGCCAAATGCAGTGATTCGAAAGTGTTTTAAAATGGTTTCTCCAGTGTAGTAAAATAATATTTGATCGAACCACCCAAATAAGTTCAATTAAGCGGGACTTAAACGAGTATTACATAATTAGAAGGATTTTTGATGAATGCCAATTGTTCACTTTTTCAACGGCTTGAATCAAATTTAAATTCACATTTTGAGTGATACACTTTGTCGATTTAAACAACGACAAAAATGGTTTTAAGGTCAACCAATTAGGTGCCACTAAGAGTGATTAAAAAAGCTTTATTTAATATTAATGATTTTTGGGGATTGCCAAATTGATATATTTGTGTTGTCCCACAGGATTAAGCTGGAAGAGTGCATTCGCAAGCAAGAGCTCCAGTTGAGTAGCATTCGGGAGGAGCGCGATACCCTGTGCCGTGTGAGTGAGGAGTTGAAGATGGAGATCCGGCTGAAGGAGGACAGAATGGAGGGCACCAACAACGAGCTGCAGGATGCACTGCGCAAGTCCAAGGAGGGTGAGTACCAATACCAACGCTGCTCACAAGAAAATCCCTAAAAGACAACCCATTATTCTTGCTCCAGGCGAGGGCTTCATCGACAGTTTGCGCAAGGAGCTGACCGACTGTCGTCGGCAGTTGGCGGACAGCAACATCGAGCGGGACAAGTACTCCGGCAGCAACAAGGAGTTGCGCGACCATGTGAAGCGCGTGGAGAGCGCCAAGCGGGAGCAGGCACGCGCCATCGAGGAGGCGCTGCAGAAGATCAGCAACCTGGAGGACACCAAGAACACGCTGGAGAACGAGCGCACCCGGTTGAGCACCATTCTCAAGGAGACGGAGAATCACTTTACGAAGACCACACAGGATCTGAACGCCACCAAGGCGCAGTTACAGAAGGCACAGGTGGAGTTTGCCCAAAAGGACGAGGGTGGCAAGGAGCTGCAGTCCAAGCTAGTGGCCGAAGTGGAGCTGAAGGAGCGGGCGCAGCAGGAGCTCTGCCAGATCAAGAAGCAGCTGTCCGATCTGGAGGCCAATCTGTGTGCCACCCGCCAGGAGTTGGGCCGGGCTCGGTGCCAGAACAACCAGGAGGAGCACCGCTTCCATGCGCGGGAACAGGAGTTGGCCCAGCGCCTAGAGGAGGGTCGTGGCAGGGAGAAGCGACTGGAGGACCAGAAGCACAACCTGGAGGTCTGCCTGGCGGATGCCACGCAGCAGATCCAGGAGCTGAAGGCCCGTCTGGGCGGTGCCGAGGGTCGCATCCGGGCCCTGGATGAGCAGCTGTCCTGCGTGGAGCTGCACAAGCGGGACACCGAGCAGAAGCTCTCCTCGGTGGTGCACACACTGCGCCGGATCGCTGGCATCCAAGTGGACGGCAGTGTGAATCTGTCGCATCGCCTGCTGAGTCCCTCGAGGAGATTCAGTCCATCTCGCAGTTGCGGCGACTATGACAACAGAAGCACCTCCCAGTGTCCGGATGGACCTATCGATGTGGACCCAGATCTGGTGCGCAAGGGAGTCCGCAACCTGATGCACCAGGTGGCTCAGCTGGAGCGCGAGAAGGATGACTACAAGTCCCAGTTGGGGGCAGCCAAGAAACAGCTGCAGGATGCCGCCGAGCAGCAACTGAAATGCGATGCCAAGCTGGGCAAGCTGCAGGCCATGCTGAGGAACCTGCAGGAGGAGAAGAGCAACCTGGAAACGGATCGTAAGATGAAGATCTCCGCCATCCAGGCGCTGGAGGAGAAGCTCAAGCACCGTAGCGACGAGTGTCAGTTGCTGCGGGAACGATTGGCCCAGACGGAGATGCAACTGGCGGCCACCTCCGAGGAGAATGGGCAGAACGAGGAGCGGCTCGAGAAGAGCCGGCAGCAGTGCGCCAAGCTGGACAACGAGAAGCGCCAGCTGCAGGAGGAGCTGGCCAAGGTGGAGGGCAGGGCCAGCAAATTGGATCTCCAGCGGGTGGCCATGGAGGGCGACCTCACCCGGCTGCAGATGGCCCTGCAGGAGAAGGACTGCAGCATTCGACAGATGGCCGAGCGCCTGGAGAACCAGAATCGCGCCCTCGCCCAGCTGGAGGATCGCTGCACCGCGCTCAAGTCCACTGTGGACCAGCTGAAGGAACGCCTCCAGAAGTCCGCCGTGACCGAGACGCAGCTGCGGGGCGAGCTGAAGACCCTGCAGAAGGAGCTCTCCGAACAGGGCCACTGCTCGCAGGCCAACGAGGACAAGCTGAAGCTGGTGCAGAAGTCCCTGCAGACTGCCGAGAACGAAAAGCGCATCCTCACCGAGCGCCTGGACAGCGCCCAGAGCAATCTGAACGAGCTGCGCCGCAGCCAGCAGGCCCAGCTGGATGGCAACCAGCGGCTGCAAGAGCAGGTCACCGACCTGGAGGTGCAGCGCTCGGCCCTCGAGTCGCAGTTGCGCATTGCCAAGTGGAACCAGGAGAGCGGCGGCGACAAGGCCATGGCCAACGGCAATGGAGCGGGCAATGGCGAAGATGAACTCAGCAGGCAGCTGAAATCCTCGCAGCGGGAGAAGTCAGAGCTACGCAGCAAGCTGCAGACACTACAGGTGGGTCGAAGGGATTTATGTACAAATTCGAGATAATTGAGAATTAATCTTGAAGGCATTGCTAACAATAATCGGCCACACTGCGTATGATTGATGTGCTGCCAAATTATTACCCATAAGAAGAGCTCTTAGTTTTAAATTAAAAGAAATATTTATAGTAAAACTTCTCTTCTGTGTTATTTAACGAACCCAGTTTACTGTTTCTACCAGTTTTAAATTCAAACGAATACTCTACCTCCAAATATCCACAGGACAAAGTCAAGCAGCTGGAGTGCGAGCGGAAGAGCAAGTTCTCCGGTGGAAACGCCTACGATCGGGCCGAGAAGTCCAGCTCCTATTATGCTGGGGCGGCTGACTCCGGGGAGTTCGATTCCAATCGTTACGATGTGGGTGCAGGCAACTCTGGCACCGGAGGCGGCGGCTCCTTCAACTGTGGACTGGATCACAGTGTGATCGAGCAGGAAACGCGAGATTTGCGACTCAAGGTGCGCCGCCTGGAGACACTGCTGGCGGAGAAGGAGTCGGAGTTGGCGCGATGCAAGGCGCGGATGAACGACAGCGCCAAGTGCCATGAGGGCATGGACGGGGATCGCTATCGCAGTGCCCAGATGCACGCCGAGAAGCTTCTAGACGCCAGAGAGCAGTCGCATCGCCAGCAGGTTTTGCGCCTGGAGAATCAGGTGGGAACTATTACAAATTTTTATATGATCCGGTCTAAATAGTTATACCTATTGGACAGATATCCATGCTGCGCGAGCAGTTGGCACAGGAGGCCAAGCGACGGCAACAGTACATTCTACGCAGCTCAAAGGCCAACCGGGAGATGCAGCACCTGAGGAGCACACTTGGGGATTCCCTGCGCAACGTGTCCCAGCACCCGGTGGATGCCCACCTCCTGGAAAGCGAAAGTCGGCGGTGAGTGTTTAACACTACCTATTCAACGGGTGTCAACTTAACTTACCCTCTGTTTTCTAACCCAGTCTCGATTCAGCCGTTTCGATGAGTCTGCCGCCGTCGACCTGCCGGGACTATGATCGCGATTAAAGCGATGTTAAGAGATTTGTTTTAACTTGATCCCGCCAAGAATACGAAACGCTCACTGCCACTTGCATTTATTTAGAGATGGCTTCCTGGACTGATCCAGTCGCAACTGAGTTAATTATCGCGTTCATTTCAACTCGTTTGCCTTAGTGAAATTCTAGCTGTTCCTTGTCTGCCCTGATAGACAATCGAATATAGTGCGTTCCATCCAGTCGCATTCGGGCATCCGATTATGCGATGATGCCATGTTTTCATCTCCACACAAATTACTATGCATTAAAGGGTCACGAGTTCCGATTCTCCCTGAAAGAGGGAGAACACCGAACCATATATCACACGAAAATTTACATAATTTGCATTTACATATTGGCCAGAACACCGAACTAGTCAGCACGAAACCAAGCAATTATATTTAATCCTTAGCATATGTAATCTTATATACAGTGCGGTTCGTCGACTGCATGTTTTATAAAATATATACAAGAGAAACTCACTTCTAATGAACACAACTATCTGAACTATGCTCTTATTTTTTGGAGGGTTTCAACAGCTTCTCAAGGCACTGTACCACTAACTTCATGTTGGCCTTTTGGGCCGACAGCTTGGCCACTTCGCCCACTATGGCGAACAAAGCCTTGGCCTTGCCCTTTTGGTACTGCTGCACTGCCTTGGCCTGGTTGGCAATGGCCTGCTGGCAAAGCTCCTCGATCTCCTTTGGACTGCAGATTTGCTGCAGGTTGTGTAGCTCAATAAGCTGATGTAAAATGGGAAATACAAGTTAAGATTCAAGTTCGGTTTAATGGCCTTATGGGACCTACCTCGTTGACTTTGACTTTGGGGTTGTTGTGCAGCAACTCAATAAGCTGTCGAGCAGCCTGGAGATTAATCTGCTCGGAGTGTAGGCATTTTAATATATCTTTCAAATCATCAGCACTTATGGAGCTAAGTAAGATATATGTTTAGAAATTATGCTTTAGCTTTACTTATTCCTGGTATCTTACCAGTTTTCCACATCTAAGTTCAACTTATTGCAGTAGGTCAGCAAGTCGTTGATAAGAAAATTGTAAACTACTTTGTTGGGCATATCGCTTAAACTACGACTGATGCTTAAGAAATGATCCAATAGAATTGGCTCGTTCTGGAACACAATCAATGAGTGTTGTTAATAATTGCTATAAGAACTTAAGATCTAATACCCACCACTAAAATGATGGCAGTTTCCGCATTCAGGTTGTACTGCTCCAGCAGACGTTGCCTTGTGTCCTCTGGTAATTCTGGAATTTCCAAGCTAAGAGCTGCCACAGAAAGCAAATCCTCAGTTGACTTTGAGCCCGGCTTCAGGTTTACATGAAGAGGTGGCAGATTTGGCTCCGGCATGAATCTGTAATCCTGCAGGACCTCCTTGTCACGCATGGCCACTGTGCGCCTATTTTCCGCATCCCAGTTTCTAGTCTCATTTGTGATCACACCGCCATTGGCCACAGTTTCGAGCTGTCGATTTATTTCATAGGTGATGGCCTGGGAAATGCTGCGAACCGAGCCAATATTTTTGACTTCTGTGCGTACGCCCAAGGGATCGCCTTCCTGGTGAATGGATATGTTTGCATCGACACGCAGGGCACCCTCTGTAAAGGCACATATATTTAAATTAAGTAGAAAAAACTAGTGGAATCATGATTTACCCTCCATTTTGCAGCTGCAGGTCTGCAGACGCCTCAGTATCAGCATCAGTTCCTTGACCAGCGAGGCTGCTTCCTCACCAGTCTCCAAATCCGGGGCAAATACCAGCTCCATGAGGGGCAGCCCGGCACGATTGAGATCAACTAGGCTTCTTTTGAGATAATCATCGTGCAAAGATTTCCCACTGTCCTGCTCCAATTGGAGCTGCAGTAGTTTGGCCGTCTTGTAGTAAACTTTCTTGCCTGGCGTTATCACCGGGAAGGTAATTTTTCCATCATTGGCCAAGGCAGCCCGCTGCTGGGTTATTTGGTATCCATTCTAGGTAGGAGGGGGAGGCTATTTATAGAGAGTTAATTTGATATTCCATATGGTGACTACCGGCAAATCCGCATAGAAGTAATGTTTGCGATCAAACATGGACACCTCATTCACACGACAGCCAAGGGCCAGTGATGTCTTGATGCCGGATTCCACACACTTTCTGTTGAGCACCTGAAAACAGGGTAATAAAATTAGTGAAGACACCTTAACTAGGATCTCCCATTATCACCGGCAAAGTGCCCGGTATGGAGGCATCGAAAAAAGCCACCGACGAGTTAAGGGGTGCTCCAAAGGACGAACCACTGCCGGAAAAAAGCTTCGATGCACTGGAAATCTGTGCATGCACCTCCAAACCCACAACGCTCTTCCATTTCCTATAAAACAAATCGTCATATGTATATAATCGTCACAGTATTTCTCCACCTAATTACCTCTTTGGAACGTTGGCCAACTTGGGCTGCGTGGCAAGACGACGAATTATTGAATAATGCATTGTGTTATTCTAAACTTGCTATGAACATAACGTATCCGCACCGGCATCCGCTAGAAGTTGCGCCAAAACAGCTGATTGCCGCCCAAACTGCCAGACTTTTGCCCGCAGGGTTGCCAGACAAAACCATCGATTGGCTGGCGATAACAGCAAAAGAGAAATATCACAAAAAAATAACCTTTTCCATTTTTAAGACAAACATGTAAAAAAATATGAGTTTAGCAGAGGTAAGCGTAGAATTTAGTACACCATAGCACCCACAATAGAGTGGAGTATCGAAATCAGTGGGAATTCAATGCCAACGCTTGTTCGTCAGTTGACAGTGACCAAGACGAGAAAAAGCACACGCAGCTCTGCAAAAGACAACCACGACGACGAGTGAGTGGAGTAGCGAAAGGACCAGGAGTGGAGTAGCGGAGCAGGAGCAGGAGCAGCCAACCGAGCGGGTGGGCGGAAAAATCAATCACAGCTGCAGGAGGCCAAGGAACCCGCCACCATGGAGATAGAGAAGATCATCGGCGACCTGGAGTCGAACATGACGCTGGAGAACGAGGAGGCCAAGCGGAAACTGGTGGAGCTGCTGACCCAGAGTGAGTCCATGTTTAGATGTCCCTCAGGTGACAACTATCACCTAGTTTTCTCCACAGACAAGGAGCAGTGGGTGGTGCCGTTCATGCTGGACTACTTCTTTAAAACCGGATCTCAGCGCATTCTGGAGGTTCTGGTCAAGGCCCAGGCGCCGCACGATGGCTACATCTTCGACCGGCTGGACGACTGCCTGAAGCAGGCCCAGCACCGGGTGCAGAGCCTTCAGGTGTTCTGCTTCATAGTGCGCCACCATCCCACCTGGCTGTACAAGATCGAGAAGCACCGACTGATCAAGAGCGTATTCAAGCTGTTAACGGTGAGTTCGGGGTGCAGTGGCCAGTCTTGGCCAGATTCAGCATTGCTTCCTTTTCCTCTTGCAGCACGAGAAGGAGATAGTGCCGCTGATGAGCGCCCTGTTGTGCATCATCACCCTGCTGCCGATCATCCCGAATTCCGTGCCCAACTTCTTGAACGACCTGTTCGAGGTATTTGGGCATTTGGCCTCGTGGAAGCTGCAGAATAGCAACAAAGTGCCGGACGAGAAGCTCGTCCACATGCAGTTTGGCATGCAGAACAGCAGCAAATTGCCGGACGAGAAGCTAGTCCACCTGCAGCTGGGGCTACAGATGCTGTTCCACCGCCTGTACGGCATGTATCCATGCAGCTTCATGGCCTATTTGGTGGAGTTCATTAAGCGGGGCAACGGCGGCGGCATCTTTCAGCACACGATCAAGCCGCTGTTGGACACGGTGCGAGTGCATCCCATGCTTCTGACGGCCACGCCAGAGACGGAGGTGAACAACACGCGCTGGAAGGAGATGGAGCCCCACGACGTGGTCATGGAGTGCGCCAACCTGTCGCTGCCCGTATTTTTGCCCGAGGCGAGCAACGAAGACGGCAGCTATGCGTATCCCATGACCCCGGGCTACAGCCGCATGACCTCGAACACCTCGAACACGGACTACAGCTATCAGTTGAGGGAGTTCCAGCATTCGAGGAACGTGTACGCTCGCTTTGATTCATCTGCCTCGGGCGGGGATCTGGGCCCGATCTGGAGTCCGCACAACGAGATTGCCACGGCCAGCAGCGCCATTCCTCTGACGCCCACCACATCGTTTATATTGCCACTCCAGCCGGTGATGAATTCGCAGCTAATGGTGGGCATGACGGGATCCTCGCCGCCCGAAGCTGCTGTGGAGGCCACCCCGGAAACGACGCCCCTCAAGGATGTGCGGGAGATCAAGCAGCCAGGACGAGCTGTTAACTCTCATGCGGTGAGAGCCATCTTCGCCACGAGCCAGCCCTCTTCGCCCATGCGCAAGGACCAGCAGAGTCAGTTTAGCTTTCCGGATGTGAGTCGAGAGGCCGAGGAGGGCAGTGCCACGTTTTTGGAAGTCACCAGGGTGACCACTTTCGAGCGACGCCTGCAGCAGGTCATTCAGGACAGGCACAACGTGGAGAGGTCTGTTAACGCACCGTTTCCCAGCAGCCTGCCGGAAATAAACTCGGAGTTATCCCTCGCTGGTGGTTCTGCCCATTCAGCTGCCACTCAGGAGGTCACTGCTGTCTGCGGCGAGTGTAACGAGACGGACCGCAGCCGGTGCAGCGTGGGAGGACTCCATATGCCCACCAGCCGATCCATGCACCAGCTGGCCAAGAAGCGCCGCAACCGCATGGCCAGCTACAGTGGCAACACTTGTGCGGACAGCAGGAGTTCGGCGGCCAAGAAGGCCAGTTGGAGTGCGGAGGCAGAAAACCCAATGCGACGGACCAAATCCTGCTCAGCCCTGGCCGGACTGCAGCAGCAGCATCTGGAGGAGAACGACGACGAGGCCGACTGTCCTGGTCAGCGGCAGAGGACGGAGAATGGAAATACGCAAAAGACTGGCAGCCGCCTGCAGAGGAGCGGCCGGATCCTGGCCATTTCTGTGCCCAAGGAGCCGGCCAGAAGCTGCGCCCACGCCTCCACCCAGACGGTGGATGGCGTGGATAGTGCCCCGGCGCAGTACGAGAACTGGCTGGTTGAACTGCTGCTGGAGTGCAAGGAGCAGCGGAACAACTACGAGCGGAGCCTTCTCTACCCGCAGGACATCCTGGACGAGTACATCAAGCATGCGATCAAGGCCAATGAGACCTTCGACGCCGAGCAGGGTCAGTTGATGTGCCTGCAGTTGGAGTACGAGAGTTACCGGCGCTCTATTCACGCTGAGCGCAATCGTCGGCTCATGGGCCGGAGCAGGGACAAGCGCAGCCTGGAAATGGAGCGGGATCGACTGAGGGAGCAGCTCAAGAACTTCGATGCGAAGAACAAGGATCTGGCCAGCAAGATGGACCAGGCCATGCGGATAGCCAACGAGCGGCAAAACAAGCATCAAGATGAGCTGGACGAGATGAGGGCGAAGTATCAGCACGAGCTGGAGGAGAAGAAGTGCCTGCGGCAGGCCAACGATGACCTGCAGACGCGCCTTACCAGCGAGGTGGCGCGCCACAAGGAGATGAACTACGAGCTGGAGTCGCTGCGAGGCCAGGTCTTCAGTCTGGGCACCGAGCTGCAGCACACCCAGCAACAGGCGGATATGGGGCTGCAGTGCAAACAGGAGCTGGCGCGCCTGGAAGCCGAGTTCATCATTATGGGCGAGGTGCAGGTGCGTTGTCGCGACCGTCTGGCCGAGATCGATAATTTCAGGGCCCGCGACGAGGAACTGCAGATGCTGCAAGAAAGCAGCCACCTGGAACTGAAGGGTGCGTACTTGTTGTGTTTATATTATACGGGATGTTTACTCATTATTCCCTATAAATTTATTTAGAGCTGAGGCACAGTCTGGACGAGAAGACATCACAGCTAGAGAGCATGAAGCACAAGATCAGCGACCTGCAGGCCCAGCTGTCCAACAGCGAGAAGGCCATGACGGAGCAAAAGCGACTCCTCAGCACGGTCAAGGATGAGTACGAGGAAAAGTTCAAGGTGGGTTTACTAACAAAAAGAGTGAAGAAAGTACATATTTATATTTAAAACTAAATATAGTGGCTATTTATTAAAATGTAATAACTTCAATTGCGTTTTGATGAACCTTTTATTTATTAATCAAGACTAAATAACTAATCAATAAATTACTTGCAGTCGGTGAACAAGAAGTACGAAGTGCAGAAAAAGATTATCATGCAGATGGAGGAGAAGCTGATGATGATGATGCAGCAACCGCAGGGAATAGCAGGACATAACACCTGCTCGCCGGACACGGACAGAACTGGTAAGTGCCGGCGCTGTCCCCTGGGTTACGAAACCCTTCCTAATGGTTCACCCCACAGACATTGCCTCATCCATTGAGCGCAACTCCCCGCTGTCCACCTCACTGGCCTCCAGCGAGAGCCTCTCGGCCAGCCTGCGCTCCACGGAGCTGAAGAACCTGCAACAGCTGGTGGACACACCCTCGATACCGGACGTGCTGAGCAGCATGGCCGCCGGCGTCCAGTTCGAGGACGGAGTGCGTCTGCCGGCCGTGGATCTAGCCTCCTCGGCCAGCACCGCCAGTGCCATCAACATCGTGCCGCACGCCTTGGACCTGCCGTCGACCTCCGGTGGCATGGGTCACACGCTCACCCACCCACACCCACATCCGCATCCGCATCTCCACCTGCAGCAGCAGCAACAGGATCAGCTGCAGCAGGAGCAGCAGACGCAGTTTGTAAAAAAGAACTAGCTTTCCTTCGCTAAACAAATGTCTATTGGGAAAACCACCCTCACAGAAAATATACAAAAAAAGTTATTGGTTCTTCATATTTTCATATTCAGTTTAAAACTGTAACTAAGGTTTAATAAATCGCTGACTCCACGCAATAATTATAAAAGTTATACAAAATATTAATGTTTGAAATTTTAACTTGTTTAGCACATTGCAATTTGTTGTAAAAAAATGGTTTTGATACGAGGCAATAAGTAAGGCGCGCATTCATATTATAATAAACATTTAATTAAGATCAGCAAGCATAAAAACACTGTTTTATTTAAACTAATTAAGAAAAACCAACTTGAGTTATATAACAAGCGCCAAACATTTAAATTACACAAAAAGCACAAGCAAATCGAGAGGCACTGCCAGCTGAAAATTGCGGGCCAGAGTGGCAACGCCAAGAACAACAGCTGTGCGGAAGCAACAATAATAATAGGAAGAAGAAGCAGAAAAGAAACGCCTACAAATCAGATCATCAAAATATATATAAATCATTATAATGCTGTCCCAATACATGGAGGAGTTTGAACAGGTGGGTTTCGAAGTTATTAAACTTGTACACGGGTTCTAAACATATATGCCATAACCAACAGGAGCCCTTTGAGGTGGGCGAGTTCATAGAACGCCTCACCTGGCGCACCAATAATGAGCTGCAAAACAGCGAGGACTTTCATCCTGTAGCCCTGCACGACACCTTCATCCAGACCATTAAGGACCTAAAGATCCTGCAGGAGAAGCAGCAGAGCAAGTGCGAACGGCTTGAGGAGTCGCTGCGCCAGGAGAAGGAGTCACACGCCAAGAAGATCGCCAAACTGCAGGAACGTCACCAGACGGCCATCGATGTGTTCGGTCAGCTGGACGAGAAGATAAACTCGGTGGCCGGCAAGATCATGCACCTGGGCGAGCAGCTGGAGAATGTGAACACGCCGCGCAGTCGCTCCGTGGAGGCCCAAAAGCTGCTCAACTTCATGGCCGAGTTCTTGGCCGCCGGACCCGTGATTGTCAACGATATTTTTGCTGATGCCGCTCGATTGAGTGAGGCCGCCGATGTGATCCAGAAACTATATGCCATCTCGCAGGATCTGCCGCCCGGGAACTTTGCCGAGTCGAAACGGAAAATCGAAAAGAAATACGACGATGTCGAACGGCGGCTCATCGAAGAGTTTGCCGCTGCCCAGAAAAGTGAGGATATCGAACGCATGAAGACCCTGGCCCAAATCCTATCCCAGTTCAAGGGGTACACTCAGTGTGTGGACGCGTACATCGAGCAGAGCCAGATGCAGCCGTACAGCGGCAAGGACATCTTCATAGGCATTGTGCCGCTGTGCAAGCACCACTACGAGATCATCCAGAAGGTGTTTGCCAATCCGCAGCAGGTCATGTCCAAGTTCATACTGAACATCTACCAGCTGAAGCTGCACCAGTACGCGATGACCAAACTGGAGGACAAAAAGGACGAAGAGAAGTACCTGCGGACATTGTACGAACTATACTCACGGTCAGTTTATCCCAAGAATTTAAGGGTATTGAAAGTTAGAGTCACAACTAATTTATGAAAGGGGAAGTTTTAAAAGCATAATTGATCTTTATTTCTCATTGTAGCACTCTTAAGTTGTCCACGGACCTGCAAGTCTACATGTCCACCATTGACGACGACTTGCTGCATAAGCTGACACAGCAGATCTTCATGAAACATCTAGCTGGATATGCTGAAATGGAGACCAAATGCCTAACAGCGAAATGTTCTACGGAACTGGAGAAGTTCTATGCCAGCAAGAAGCACCAAAAGACGGCGACTACCAAGGGCTTTCGACGCAACATGGAAGTGCTGATAGCAACGCGGGCCAATATTAACATTGCCGCCATCGAGGACTACGGCGGAGAAACGTTTCTGTCCGAGGAACTAGCTATCAACATGCTGCAGGAGGCAAAGGCCTCGCTCAAGCGCTGCCGTCTCCTGTCCAACGAGACTGAGCTACCAGGCAATGCTATAAAGCTGAACGATATTCTGCTGCGTTTCCTCATGCACGAGCACGTGGACTATGCATTAGAGTTGGGTCTGCAAGCGGTGCCGCTGGCCGAGGGCAGAGTCTTTCCCCAGCTGTACTTCTTTGATGTGGTGCAAAAGACTAACATCATCGTCCATCTGCTGGACAAACTGTGCCACACATCGGTCATACCCTGTGTGAGGTAAGCTTAGACTTAAATTGTTATATTAACTAACAGAAAATAAGAAAACATTTCTTCTCCAGTAATACTCCCAAGTACTCAGACTACGTGTTCAAAAAGCGTATTCTGATGGAACAGATCGAGACGAAGCTAGATCAAGGTTTGGACCGCTCCATCAGCGCCGTCATTGGCTGGGTCAAGGTCTATTTGCAGTATGAACAAAAGAAAACCGACTACAAGCCGGAGACTGATGTGGATACCATTTCTTCGGCGGTAAGATATCTGCTTTTACAAAAGCTTTTCTGAATTTAAGAAAGTATAATTTGTTTTGCCCAGGCCTGCCTACAAGTTGTGCAGAATCTTCAACCTGTGATCGTCCAAATTAAAAAATGCGTTGATGGCGAGAATCTGCAGAATGTTCTTACAGAATTCGGAACTCGCCTTCACCGGGTCATATATGATCATTTGCAGACTATGCAATTCAACACGGCTGGAGCCATGTGCGCCATCTGCGACGTAAACGAGTATCGCAAGTGCATCCGCGAGCTGGATAGTCCCCTAGTGACGCAGCTCTTTGACATTTTCCATGCATTGTGCAATCTATTACTTGTTAAGCCGCAAAACCTCCAAGAGGTTTGCACTGGCGACACTCTGGTAAGTGGGCGGTGTCTTTGATTTCGTCTGCCATTCTTACGCTACCATCTTTATCCACTTTAGAACTATCTGGACAAGTCTGTGGTGCGACAATTCATTCAGCTGCGCACTGATTTCCGAATCATCAAGAACACCAATTACCTGAAGGGTATTATTGAGTAAGGAGTCCAGCGCCCGAATGAGTCACATTCCGAAATTTTCCACCTCGCACGGTGCTGTCTGTGGATTAATTTGATATATTGAAGGGGACATTATCTTATAATTAATTATGGTTCACTATGTTCTTTAACTTTCAATTAAAGTCAAGTGGCTGGTTACTTTTATCTACAAATCAGAGGTACTTGATTTATTTACTGTATTTATAGGCGTTGTTCACACGCGTGCCCGCCACCCAACCACCCACTCCCAGACCCACACAAGCCCCTATGACGTCACGGAAGTCCCCCTTATCAAATCTTCAAATTAAATCGGTATCAGTCAAAGCTGGAACGAAAGTCAGCGTTAGTTGCCGCAATCGGCTCCCAGTCAATAAATCACAGTTTATTGCCTGAGCGACCGCGAAGTATTTATTTATTTACGTTTCCTCAGAGAGGACAAGAACTCTCTCGCTGGAGAGAAGCCAGGTTATTTGGTCGGCTACTTTTGGTTGGGACCCACTATTCTTGGTGTCAGTCACCTATTAGCCACCAAGCAAATCGTATCGCCAAAAGAAACACCGCCTGCTCCTGATCCTCATTATCGAACCCCTTTGTTATTGTTTTTTGACATTTGGAAGCTATTCGCACACCTACGCGAATCGCGTTTGTCCGATATTCTAATCGAATCGCGAATCTAGATCTCGAACAGTTGATTAAACCATGCGCGGCGCCTTCATGGATTACTACCTAAAAATACTCTTCGTCATTTGCGCTGTCCACCAAATAGCTGGCGGAGCGATCAAGTCCACCACAGATGCGGCTTACAAAAAATACCTGTCCCTAAAATCGCTGCCCTTCGAAGACTGCGGTGAGTACAACTCAGATTATTTGCCTTTCGGTGGATCGATTTGACAAAACTCCCTAAATCACAAAAAGGAAATAATATTTAAAATGTAAAATGCACATTGGTATTATATTCAAGTACATATTTAAAACGGATATTATTTCATTTGAAAATATTAATTTAAAAAATATATAAACGTAAATATAAAAAAAAAATAAAAGCCCAGTCAACCTTTTGGTAATTGTTCTCGAAAGCAAACAAATTTGAATATTTGTAGAAAAATCGACTTACCGAAGTATGAAACCTAGAAAATACTTACCTAGCAGACATCTGATATGATTTTCACTAGTTTCTATATTTTCATGATCGTCTCCTTACCCGACCATCTTTGATAAAAGAGATCAACCCAATTTCAATGAATTAAATTTTTTGTAGCGTCATCGAGTAGTAAGTATGTCGATTGATTATTATCAGGACCATTGTAAATAGCATTAGGCTTATCTCTAAATTAAAGTGCTGCTCCCGCAAACAAAATAAAAGACTTTCAATAAAATACAACTGTCAAGAAGGGTATTTTCCTGATTGTGCCGCATAAATTTTCAACGCATTAATGGAAAATATCGTTGATATGTCATAAATTATTATGATATATTACAACAATTAATCAATCGAAAATTTTATGAGATTATAATTTAAAATCGTTCAGGTAGCTGGAAATACCAGTAAATAAATGACATCAACAAAAATAATGATTCACTTTAAATAAGGTAATGCATTGCATGGTTTATGTACAACATGGTTTATATAGCGTCAAACGCATCACAAAAACTGATTTAAGGCCAATAAAACAAAAGTAATAAACGAATCGTAGCCATGTAAAAAATTGCGAACCTATTTCTAACTATGTCCAATTAAGTAGATAAGTTTATTTCAGAGCATTAAAACTTCGCCGTCTTATAAAAGTGTCTCAGGGTACAAGCTATTAATTGTATTTTGGTTTTTACAATGCTTGATTAAACGAAGTATTCGTGAAGTGGTTAATTCAATGATTTATGTTATAGATTTAAACAAGCAGATGTGACACCCTTACGTGCGATTATCGTTCAATATATATATTGGGACCCTGATAGACAGGCGAATGCCCCGGAATAGTTAAAAACAAATAAATAACTTAATTACCAGAATGTTGCAATATGTTATTGAGCACGGTACCTTTTAAGGCTAGAAACTGTTTGAAGGCCTTGGAAAGTGCACTTGGTCATAGATTATAGATTATAAAGAAATGTGAGTATATGTATAGGTAAGTGTCTTTGAATCGCAGATAACTCGACTCAGTTGCTGGGAAAGGTTTTATTAAGGATTGGTTCTTAAATTCTTGCCATGTAGTATGTAGATATAATACATGTAGAATGTCACGTACAATAATTTCAATATATAGTTTGAAGCCTCTTATCAAACTTGGATTTCCTAATTCAAGATTTCAGTTAGTCCCAATCAAATGCGTTACTATTAAAAATAACATAATATCATAATATTTCGCTTAAAAAATGATATCTCATATGCAATATTATTATTTTTAGGTTCCTTGTACCAGGTCAGCTACCTGGACATCGAGAGCTGTACGAAACTGCCTTGCTCCATGGCCCGAAACGCTATCGTTAAGGTTACCGTTCGCTTCGATGATAATGGTAAATATACAAGTATCAACGCACTGATAACACAAGATCGCATTTCCTCAGAGAAAGAGACCCACTGATCGCTTTCTGAGCAAAAGTCACTCGGAATCAAAAATAGATCTAGTGCGGGCGATCAGGTGGATGGCGGATGTTTGACGGGGTGGGTGTATAGAAATAGAACCCCCTTAGAAATCGGTAGTAGAACAGCCATTGCGTGCTCAAATGATGGTGGCAATAATGATTAGACCCAGACGTAAATAAATTTGATCCAAGATTGTAAATCTACGAAATTTCACGAAATTTGCCACTGCTACTACTGTTTACTTCGATGCAGTCATTGAGATATTGACATCGATTGCAGCCCGGGGCCCGCCCCAAAGTCGATCCATAAATAAAATAATGAATGCTTAATGATATTTTGATGAGTCAGCATAATTGGAGTTGAAATTGAAACGATTGATCTCAGCACGAATTGAACATTTGTAGTACCCGATAGGGGGCTGTTACAAAGATTGACCAAACATAAATATTAAAGGGAGCATGCAAAACAGATTTATTTAATTGGACTTAGAGTTCAGAGTTTGATAAACAAACGTACACCTGGGGTCAACATAATAGTTCACAGAAAAGAATTTTATATTTGAATAGAACTATAATAATAAAAACAAATTTTTCCTTTAAAAATGTATTTTTTTTATATATATATATTTTGCATTTTAAGTTAAATGTGGTATATTTCTCAAACAAGTTTCCAGCTGACTTTGGGCTGCTTAATCTAGTTATACATCAAAATGTATTCTTAAAATGAATAAGAACTGCGAGAGCTTTTTGAGTTTTATGAGGATTCCTTTCGATATTTTTGATCCTACTAAAATCTGTCTAATAAATTCCATTTACAGGCAACGGCGTATCCTTTTTAAAGCACGAAGTCCAATGGGTGTTCAACTACATTAAGACCGAGGCGGCTATTACTCCTGATCCTTGCGACGGAGATCATGGTTGTATAGAGAGTGCGAGTAATGGAAAAGCTTACTGGGCCAACATCTTTGTTAATAAAACTCTTCCGGTGGTAAGTTCGTAACTCATTTTTTATTCATATATATTATATTAATAAGAACCATAAAAAAATGTAATAATTGTCTACGTCATGTTTTTTCTCTGTGTTGCAGATGAAAGGGAGCATGCTGTGGGAATCCAAGGATGCAAACGATCAGAACCTAATCTGTTTTCAGGTTCCCGTTGTAATCACAGTGTAAATGTGTAATCACGAAAATAAAGTAATTGGTGCATGCAAATCAACAGACCAGTGTGTGTGTGGGTGTGCGTGCGTGCGTGTGTGCATCCTTTAATGAAATTTTGAATGAAAACAAGGGAGGCGCGGCTTCTTACGAGTAGCAGTAAAATGGGAGAGAGTGTATATGCAGAGGTGGGGATCTCTGTTTTGGCACACACACTGATTGCGGAGAGGTGCGAGAGCAAGGGCAGTGCTCCGCACAGTGGTCATAATTAGTAACCTATCACAACTTTTATAAAAACATTTGTTAAACGCCACATTCAATTAAACGTTCTTCATAAGAATTCCTACAAGAAGCTCAAACTTCGCAACTGAAATAACATTTCAAACTACTATTATTCAGAATAAAAAAAGAATAAGATAATTTACGTTATTATTGACTAAAATCGTTCTTTCATTTTAACTTGGAAATATGATAAACATTTTAAAATTATATTGTGTTTTTATTGTTTTTTTTTCTTACCTTAGTATTTTTTATCCTTTTAACTTTTTAAAGGTAATTAAGTATGCCCATTAGATTTGCCACTTTGCCCACTGTGCGAGAGAGCGGCGGGAGAACCGGAGAATTGGGGCCCGAGCCCTGCAGGCCGTAGCCGTTCAGTGTGTCACTCTCTCTTGGCGGCTGCAGCAAAACGGTCGCACGAAAAGAGCTCCCACTTGAGATTCACATTCAGATTCGGTTTCGGTTTGGTTTGGGTTTCGGATTGGATCGGATCGGGCTCCAAGTTGCCAGTTCCCAGGAGCGGAAATCGGAACAGAGTAGCAAATTAAATAATAAAGAGGCAGAAGGCGATCAAAGAAGGCGCTCCGACTGCGTAGGTGTACGAGTTCGCAGATCGCAGCAGGCGAAGTGGAGCCAGTGCATCCGAAAGTGTTTCCCCGAAAGTGTTTCCATTATCGTGAGTACCTAAAAATGTTTCGCACTACTCACCATTTGTGCAATTCCGTCGGCGTAAATAAGATTGCCTTCGCGCTAATTGCGGATGGGTAAGGATGGTGTTGGCGGTTTCGGGGTGAAAAAGAGGACGGATCCCATTGAACGGTGCACGGGTGACATGCGGCCACACGGTAGAAGCTTTCTTAGATGGACACTTCAAGTGCCGGCGTTTCTTACGCGCCTCTTTAACACTGTGAAAATAAATATTTCAGACAAATTGTTCAGGAAAATTTTGTATATATTTTAAACTTTCAAACATTAAATTCTTTAAAAGTAAATTATTATTCTTGTAAGCTGTACTATCGTACACCCACAACTATTTTCTTCTAAAACATAATAAGTAATGTAAAATGAAAAATACTTTAATAGTTTTACAATATCAGCACTTTCTCTAGATACAGGACTATTTATCAATGGTCCTATATAAATTGTTTAGCTTAAAAGCGATTTCTATAGGATTGTTTGAAATATATATGGAACTATAACAATGTACCATAATCGGAAGTACAAGTATGACATATCAAAACGCTGAACCTTGAGCACGGCTTCGGGTTCAGAACCTGCCGTAGAACCCGACACCGCCATGAACACACATCCTACTCCGATTCGCTCCGGTTGAGCTTGAGCTTGCGCACATGCCTAGCTGGGTGCTTGAACCCCATAAATGGGTTTCCATTGGGGCTGCTTGGATTTCCTCGCGGACTTAAATGGCACAATGTGATCCGGGAATACCGCACTTGACAACAAAGGGCATAATACCAAGTTTGCAAGCTAGGTCATCTCAAGTAATCAAAATGGATGAATGTTGTTGAGTGGAACATGTTATCTCAAATTCTACTTCTCAGGTTTCTGATGATTTTTAATGTCTTTTAGAGCTCATTCTGATCTGTTTAAACAAGGAACAGATTTTAATATTTAATAAAATATAAGTTTATTTTAGGAAATTTATTGCAAGAAATCATAGTTGTTATTTATTTATTGATGATGAATTCTAAAGGCTTAAATTTGCATGCATTCAAAACTTTGACTTCTGACTCATATGATATGGAATCACACTTTATTTTCATGATATTTGAGAAGGAGACTTCACGATTTTTTTGAATGCATAACAGCAGTAAACAATCAGTTGATATTTACATAATGGTTAACTGTGATTCAGCAATGATCGTGGATAACCGTCCGACTATCGAACTTCTCAATTTAATCTTGCCTTTCTGGCCTGGGCCCCAAAATTGATGATTGCTCTTCTCCCTTTTCGTTGGTGTTTTGTTACTTGCCCTCTTTGAATGTTAACGATTATTTTTTTACCACCAATGCACTTCGGCCGAAGCAAAGGAAACAATGCGATGACGTTGCTGCTGTTGGTCAAAGTGTTAAACGATTTGCATCATATTACACCCAGTTGCTGCTGCTGCTGCCTTGCCTGGAGGTTGCTAGCCATTGTCGATTGCTATTGTACTAAGCCCCGAACGGAGAACAAGGATTGGGGATGGAGACGGAGCTGCAACTGGGGGCAAAACAAAAGCAACACTCCAGCAACAGCAGCAACCACCAACGATTTATCACAGCAACGACGTCAACGAAATCGATCCGGATCTTAGTGCCCCCCATCATCCTCAACCCCATTTCCAACTGCTGCCCTCCTTAGCAACTCCCCTGTATGTACACTCGCAGGAAATGTAATACCTCAAATTAAATGTGTTTTAAATTAGACCTCTTCATTTATACTAGAGTATTTTTCGAATATTTTGAAGCATTTTACTTTTACCCACAGCACTAATTTTTCCCAAAAAGGGGCAGCATGAATTTAAAAGTTAAAAGTTCATAATGAGAACTAACAAAACTGCAAATAATAGTTGAGCTGAGGCTTAATATAAGCCTCTACATTGATTAAATCCTTTTTTATTTTATCATACGCTATTAAAACAACAACGCCTTAATTATATTTAAGTGCTTACGGTTTCTACAGAACTTTGAATAAGACGTTACAAAGTTGAATAATGTCATCCAATAATGCCAGTAAGAACTGGCAGTTTTCGCCTCTAAAATTATGGACACTTTTGAAGAAAATTTTCCTTAGAATATAAATTTTTATTCTGAAGATAAATGTATAATTTTATACAGATCCTTCTGAAATGAATTAAATTTGTTGAGTAGTTTCTCCAAGTGCACCGTATGTGTATTGGGCTATGCTCGCCAAGTGCCTTTTCGCCTTGGTGTGCGTGAAGCATAAAAAGTAATTTTGAATTTTTGAATCGTTAAAAGCAATTAATCGCCTCTACGCAACGGCAGCCAGCCTGGCTGCGACGACCGCGCTCCTCGACTCGACTGTCTCATCAGCGTCAGGCACAGAACTCATTCATCTGGAAGAGTCGCGGCCGCGATCCTCAACCTCAGCCTCAGCCTCATCCTCGCCCCCTATCCCCTATCCCCAAGCCCCATACCCGAACCCCCACCCCACACAATCCTCGCATTGACGACGCTTTACTGCCCAATTTTGTTGCAAATTTTTCGTTCCGCGGAACTTGGTGCATTTCATCTCGTCTGCTCTTGGTGATCGTCGTCGTCGCAGTCGCCGCTTCATCTTCTTGCGTCGATCGTCGCGCACATTCATTTGTCGCTTAATGTCCCTCAGTTAGGCAGCCCCGGGCCTGCTCTCCCCGAATCCATCGCATCCCAGTCCGAAACGCAGTCCCCACAGCTGCGGTCAGCACAGAAGGTCTCCAATTATATTTAATAACTCTGGGGCTATATAAATCCATTAAATGTTTAAGTGAAATTATTATTTGTTCCAAACCCCTATACCAACGATATTTCCGAAATGCATTAGTAAAATCATTATATTCCAGCTTATCTACCAAAAATGTACAAAATTAAAATTCATAAATTATAACTAGATCGGAGAACCTGCATCTGGACCTTTTATGTTTATTAAAATTCAAAATTCATAAAATACAATATTAATTAATTCGGAGAACCTCTAATTGGATCTTTTATATTTTAATGTTACAAATAGTCCAACGTAACTGTTGAATTTAAGAAGCACTTAGGCATGAATTTAAGATGCACTTAGATAAACAATATGATTGCATACTTTTCGGTGACCAACTGATGTTAATTTCAAAATGGTAACATAAAATCCTTATTGACTATAAAATACAAAATAAAGATAAGAAGTAGAATTTGAAGTAGAAGCCACGAGATCAATCCTTCGCAAACCTCTATTTTGGAAAATGTGGTTTTTCGGTGGTTAAAAAAAAATTACTCATACGAAGTGTTGCCTTCCACTACAAATAAGATTGAAGGTTAAGAAAGCACAAAAACCTATTTTAAGTGGCGATGTGCAGTTTTACAATACTATCAGATTGGGAAGTTTGAAGAATATAAACAACTAGCTTTAAAATGAGGCCCCTTCGGTTGCATTAGATCAGTTCTAAAGTGCTGACCTCAACTGTGCTGCGGCATGGCATCTCCTGGCTGCCCCACCAACCACCAACCGCCGCATCACTGCACTACTTCTCCACTCGAATGCTCCCAGAGTGTCTGTATCGCCTTGGTATGTGCGGCATCTGCTGGCTAGGCTTCTGATCTGATGATGCTGCTGCTGCTGGTGGTGCTTCTGCCGCCCCTCCAACTGCGGATGGTGGCAATGGATGTGCCTTTGGATGTGACTGGGACTATGGATGCGAATGTGGTGACATCCACTTGCAGCTCTCGCACATTCGTCGTAGTCGTATTTTTCTCGATTTTGTTTTCGCTGCCTGCACATTCACACGCAGTCGAACGCAACAAAAACCAAAACAACAACATAAACCGACGACCATCGACCATACCATAAAACATTAGTTTCCCATTTGCGTGCTAAATACCCTACATGGAATCGATGCGAGCACATTGATGGCCATGGCAAACAGGTGAAGAATTTTTAGGAGTCTGTTCCAGACTTCCCAGAATCGGAGATGCAAAATTATGCTGAAAAGAGCGGCCAGTATTTAGAAAGGTGCGAAGATTACTACACTTAAGCAAAAAGTATTACTCCGAGAAGTATTACTCAAGCACTTGTGAGAACGCCAAAGACAAATTTTAAAAGTAATTTTAGTTTAAGAAATTTTTATATATAATTATTAATTTAATTTAATTTTTGAAAATATATTGCTTTTCAAAATCTTTTTTTAAATCTAGTATTTCAGTGAAAGTAAATCCTAACAGTTTAATTCAAAATGAAATCTTAATCTTATCCTATAGATGTTTAACTTTTAAATGGCTAACTAATAGAATTTTAACTCAGTTGGTTAAGTTTATCTGCCCAAATTGTGATGTGTAGGGCATCTAGGATTCTTCTTAAAGCTCAGATCTCTGGCCTCGTCTGGCCATCCGTCCGATGCTCTCGTGGCACGCACACGCACTATGATGCGCGCTTTGAAGTCCTGTCAAGCACTTGAGATACATTTATGTATTTTTTGCATTTTCCTTGCCTCGACTTCGGGGCAGGGCGGCACAAATGCGAAGAATGATTAGTTAGTTGGTCATGCAAAATGGGTGAAACCGGTTCTCCTGCTGCTGCTGCTCGCACCGAGGTCGGGGAGGAGCAGAGCGGGTGATCCTTCAGCATAATCAGCGGGCTGCTGGTGATGATCGGCACAAATTACAAACGCACGGAATGTCCAGAAACCGAGAGCTGATCACCTGACGCATGATCATTTGCAGATTGAAATCAGCGAGGATCGGATCGGTTCGAATGGTCAGCATGCAAGTGGCGCTGCTGGCGCTGTTCGTTCTCGGCCAGCTATCCTCCAGCGCCGTGGCCAATGGATCCGCCTTCTCCACATCCTCGTCCAATCAACTACAGCGACAGAAGTTGGCACACTGGTTCCGGGATAGCAACGACGTCAAGGATAAGATATTGGAGCTGCAGTGCTTGGCCAAGTGTGGCGCCATTCCCTCGACGAAGGCTCAGCGGGAGCAGTGCCTGGACAAGTGCATCCAGGAGCTGCTGTTGGGACCCAGAGCCGGCAGTTGTCCCAAAATCGGCAGGCAGACAAGGGCCGGGCTATCCTGCCTGGACAACTGCCAGTATGATCACGAATGCCCCGAGGTGCAGAAGTGTTGTGCCTCCAGCTGCGGTCCAATGTGCGTGGAAGCTCTGGGCGTGAGGAACAACACGCAGCTGCCTCCAATACCCAAGATCCTGTACTTCAGGAGGTCACGAGGTCATGGCGTCGATCTGAAGATCGAGTCCTCGCTTCTGGTCTATTACTTCCACGTGGAGGTCCGTTCGCACATAGGACGGCTTTTTGCCCCCAGAAAGTTCGGGCCCTGGGAGTGGCAGAAGGTGGAGAAGACCATGGAGGAGAACATCGGGCACAGCAAGCAGTAGGTTTAACTTGGCCACATCCACGAAAGAGTTCTTTAACGGTCTGTTTCGTTTCCGCAGCACGTATATCTTCTTTCATATGCGACCAGGCCGATGGTACGAGGTTCGGGTGGCTGCCGTAAACGCCTATGGGTTCCGGGGGTATTCTGAGCCCAGCGACCCATTTCCCTCAACGGGCAGTAAGTAAATTAAGATATGATATATATACGATACAAATTATTTTTAAATGCTTTTACCCCTTGTACTAAACTTATTTATATAACTTTTAGAATTTGCTTAATTTAGGAGGAATGCTTCATATGTTTTAAAAATAATTAAACTAGATTCAAGTTTATCTGGGAACTTACTTCCGAAAAGCTATTCTAAGCATTACAATTTACTGTTTTTTTTTTAATATAAAAGTTATATAGTCATTTAATAAATATCAATTTTAGAAGTAAGGATCAGAAATATTATATATTAAGCTGTTTAATATTAAGAAGGCTTACCAACTAACTTACATCTAATCCTTAGACCCCAAGCCACCGAAGCCGCCCAACGACGCAAAGATCATTGCCAAGCAGTTCGATGGACGCTACATGAACGTAAAACTAGTGTGGTGTCCCTCGAAATCCAATTTGCCCGTCGAGAAATACAAGGTCACTTGGTCCTTGTACGTAAACAGTAAACAGGCCTCGATGATCACGTTGGATACGTATGTGAAGGATGTAAGTGGCTCCCGGTGTGTGGAACAAGACAATTAGCATCTAATGCTTTCAGACCCATCAGCTTGAGATCAAGAAACTGCTGCCGAACTCATCGTACTACATCCAGGTGCAAGCCATTTCCTACATAGGATCGCGTCGCCTCAAGTCCGAAAAAAAGTCGATGCTGTTCAACACGACGCTGCAGCCCCTGGAGCCAATCACCCCGCTGCAGTGCACCGGGACGGGCAACAGGCGCAGGCACCATCATATTAGCAGCTCCACCAGCTCGGAAAGGGCAACGACCCCGGCGCCAGTTGGCCTCAATGAAGTTTCGCCCAACATTGCGAATCGAACAGCGGCAGCCACTTATGAAGTGGGTTTCCGATTGAACCGGAAGTTTGGCATGATTGTGCAAATTCTGGGCTTCCAGCCACACAAGGAGAAGTAATTATTTGTAAACAAGTTGCCAAAATGCTAAAATTTCACGCTGTTACCGCAATCCAATTGCAGAGTCTATGAACTGTGTCCCCAGGAGACGAACTGCGAGCAGCGAGAGTTCCGCGCAATTCGCGCCAAAGTAAGTAATACCCTTGATTTGGTGATGCTTTGATCGGAGCCACGAGCCACATGTCGAAACACTTCGTGCCGATTGCCCGGACCACCGGGGAAGGGCAAATCAATGGAACACTGTTGACCATGGGGTATTGTTTAACTAGGCGCAATCATGTTTCCTTCTTTTGACACGAAAGACACGTCTTCACAATAGCCAGTACGTGGCCACATGGCAATCAACATTTTCCAGACTGTGTTGCCAGTAAATGGGTCATGGCATAGGTGTATTATGCCCAAACTTTAAAGATCAAACTAATAATTGCTAGTCTATATCAACATCACTCACTCCCCTTTGATTGCAGAGGGACCCATTGGAGTTCACCAAACTTAAATACAACACCACCTACGTGCTTAGGGTTCCACGATCTAGTCCCAATTCCGTGCTGGACGACTCCAGAAACGTCTTCACCTTCACCACGCCCAAGTGCGAGAACTTCCGCAAGAGATTTCCCAAGCTGCAGATCAAGTGCAGCGATTAGCCTTCAGCCGGTGGGCTCAGCCCACTACTGACCATGAGATTACACTAGATTGTAAATAATTGTATGTAAAACTTAACTTTTACTTATTGTTAGACTTAAGGACACACACAGAGAAACTGAACAAAATCGTTTTCTACTTGAAGAGATCCTTGAACTCTTGCAAATCCTGCTGCTGCTGGGTGGGCTTCTGGCTAGAGGACCCCAACAGTTTGCAGTCTTCCAGGCGGACGTCATGCTCCAGGAGCGCTGCTATAAGTCGTGAGGTGTAGAGCACTGGTCCGCCCACCAAATGGAGGAAATCGTAGTGCTTATCTCGTCGTGTGCTGAACAGTATTCGCTTGGAGACGAAATCCCCATAGTTACTGATCCGTCCCACGCAAACGTAGCGTTGCAGTGATGGGGCGTACACCTCGATGACCGCTCGAAGGCTTTCCGCCGGAGTAAGTGTTTCTGCTGATGCATAAACCACCCGGAAGGGTATGCCCAAAGCCTTGTAAAAGTCTGTGGCCAGATTAAGTATGTGTTCCAGTTGGCAGTCGGCTTCGTTGGCCGATAGAGTGGCCACAAAACTTTGAACCGCATTTGTTTGGGTCGCCGTATAAAGACTGGGAGTGGGCCCATATAGCTCCGTCTCCGACCGATTGTAACTTCGACCGCAGCAGACATAACGCAGGGGTAGCACGGAAGGATACACGCACAGCCTGGTCATGGCCCCGAGATAGCTCTCAAAGGCTGCTCCTCCAGTTAGGTAGGCCGTATTGATCTTATTTTGCAGGTGCTCCTCCTGCACCAGGTGATAGTCGGCCAAGGGGGTGGCATTCGCCTCCAGAAGAACACAGCGTACAAAGTCGGGGTTGGCGGTTTGGATGAAGTCACCCTGAGCGACGAAATAGCGGGCCAGGGATTGCATGGCATTGACGTCAAAATGAGCTGCCTGGTCCATTATATAATACCGGTTGTTGTCCACGAAGTGTATGAGATCATGGCGTGTCAAGTGGGTGGTGGATTTGCTTTTCAGTTTCGGCTGGTCGTGGCGATAGAGGATCTTTTCCTGGCCGCCAGTGGGACACTGCTCATGCAGCCGGTTGGGCAAGTGCAGGTAGTCGTGTATAAAGTCATCCTCAATGGGATATAATGCCTGCTTCAGGGTCTTCAAGTCGTTGCGCAACGATTTCCCACGCTCTTTCAGCTCGTCGAGTTGCTCCGCAGTGCCTCCAGCTTTGGTTAGCTCCTTCAGCCGCTTGGTCACCGCCTCTCTCTCCTCAGCCACCTTGGCCAGTTGGGCGTGGTGCGTCTCATACTTCTGATACTTGCTGAGCACACTTTCCAATGCGATGTCCAAGCCCCGACTGGAGATGCTCTGTTCCAAAGATTGCCGGTCGCTGAAGGTTCCCTTGAAGTCCAGATACGGTTGCAGGGTCACATAGTTCTCGTTAGCTTTGTCGCCAGTTATGTAGAGGGCGGAGATATTCCTGCTGCACGTATTTCTCGCCGAAAGGCCTTTTTTTAATACATTTCGCAGACTAAACATTATTGTTATTATCAACTGCAACAATAAAATAAGCCGGCAGAATCAGCTGTTGCCAGCGCTGCCAGATCAAGGTGATTTGATTGGGGTACTCCAATACCGGAATTTTTTTTTATTTTAAATATCTGGTACTCCCCTTTTTGAATGTGAAAATATCCCAATAGATTTGTATACAATATTTCTTGCATAACTTGTTTATATAATTCTTAACAATTATTTTTTAAAGGTTACAGATAGTAATTTGCAATAATAACATAAATTATAGCAATATCTTAAAATTAGAAACTTATTGTATGCAGTGAACATACGCCCTCTCCAAGGCCGCAGCAAAAAACGGAGGCGGTTTGAAATTTCGTATCTCATTGGTTATAAGCTCCTTCCAGCAATTCACATTCAGTATCATATTTTCAAAGTTTTGATCATACGCTGGTGCGACGTCCTCGTCATGATGGCGTGGATCAATTAAATCGCTAAGGAACGGATGGTGCATTGCCTCCTCGGCTGTAATGCGTCTTTCGGGTATCATTTCGAGCATTTTCTCCATTAAATCCACGGCCAAAGGATTGGCATCCGGAAACATCTGATTGAAATCACATCTTCTCCGATTCGGGTACATCCTCAAGTAATTGCGAGCATGCTCGATGGTTACTCCGCTGACAAACTGATCCGACGGTCTACCCATTATGTCAAGCAGGCGCTCGAGTTGATTCATATAGCATCTTCCAGGAAATAAGGCACGACCGGATATAAGTTCGGCCAGGATGCAACCCACAGACCACATATCGATGGCCTTCGTGTACTTATCCCAGAGGAAGAGTAGTTCGGGGGCCCGATACCACAGGGTCCCCACAAAATCGGTCATATCATCGGCGGAGAGACGGGCTAAACCAAAGTCAAGTATGCGCACCTCCATATTTTGATTCACTGCAATATTACCGGGCTTCAAATCACGATGAAGGACGCCGGCACTGTGAATGTACTTCAGACCTCGTAATATTTGGTAAAGGATATACCTAATATGGTACTCGGAAATCCTGTTTGCGTGGGAGAAACTGTGCAGGTCCTCGTCCATTAGATGGGTCACCAGATAAACCTGCTGAAAATCGTTCATCTGCAAAGGCGGGTGAAAAACGTCCAGCAGGCGAATGACGTTCGGGTGATTCATGTGCTTCAACAAACGGATCTCGCGATAAGTTCCCTTGGCGTCCTCCTCTTGCTCGAAAGGCTGCAACAGCTTTTTCATAGCCACGTAATTTTGGCTCCCAATTAGCCTCACCTTGGCGACCTGACCAAAAGAACCGGCGCCAAGGGGTCTGACCAACTCATATATGTTTGGAATTTCCCAAACGCTTTCGTTTACATTTACTCTCGCGAATCCCGCCATTTTGGTTGACTAAAACTTCAAAAAACAAATCCTTAGAGTTCGACGATACAAAGCTTACTAAATTCGCAATTCCCCACTCACTTCTTAAATGCATTTCTTATCAAACGTTTCTTACAATCTAATCGGTAAAACATATGTATATGATTCAGTTCTCTTTATGACCGGAAAAATGTTTATAACTGATAATGAAAGTTTAATCGGAAATTAAACAACGTATTTTTGCCTATTAAGGCTGCAATATCGGTAGAGTTTCATATTTCAAGCTTTTTTTTTTTTAACGAATTTATTGTAAAATATACAGTACAATATTAGTGGCAAGCTAAAACAAATTAATAAAACATAGTACAAAACAAAAACAATACTCAACACTAGGAATAGCTACATTTGAGTACGAAAGGCATCATTTGAACAATGTTCTTGGTAAATATAAATGGTATCAAAAATAAGTGGCCCTGTTTAATACTTCAAGTCCTTAATGGGGGGATTGAGTTTCACTTTACGTCCTTAAGAACCTGGGCAAACGACGGCGGAGGCTTAAAGTTGGTGACCTCCTTGTAGATCAGCTCCTTCCACTTGTCCACTGGCAGATCCATGTCCTCGAAGCTGTGATCGTACGGCGGAGAGGTCTGCTCATCGCTGGGCTCGGCGTACTTCTCCAGATACGGATGGGCCAGAGCCTCCTCGGCCGTGATCCGCTTCTCGGCGTCCAGCTCCAACATCTTCTCCAGCAGATCGATGGCCAGCGGATTGGCGTTCTCGAACACCTTCTTGAAGCTGCGCCTCTTCATGGGTGGCAGAGACTGGATGTAGGAGCGGGCACTCTCCGAGGATATCTTCTTCATAAAGTCGGCTGGCGGCGTGCCCAGCATCTCCATGATCAGGTTGAGCTGGTGGATGTGATCGGTGCCCGGGAACAGAGTGCGTCTGGTGATAAGCTCCGCCATGATGCAGCCCACCGACCAGATATCCACCGTCTGGTTGTAGTGCATCCAGTTGAGCATGATTTCGGGGGCGCGGTACCACCGCGTAGCCACATAACCGGTCATTTCATTCTCCGTGGGACGCGCTAGTCCAAAGTCCAGGATCCGCAGCTCGCAATCCTCGTTAACGGCAATGTTCGAGGGCTTCAAATCGCGGTGGATCACTCCGGCACTGTGGATGTACTTCAGTCCCCGGAGTATTTGGTAGACCAAAAACTGGACATGATCGTCGGACAGATGCTGCATCCGTATGATGTTGTTCAGATCCGCGTCCATCAAGTGGGTGACCAGGTAAACCTGCTGGAAGTTATCCAGCGAGGCATTGGCCGGATGTGGATGGAAAATGTCCAGCAGGCCGATCACGTTCTCATGATCCATGTGTTTTAGAAGTCGGAGCTCCCTGTAGGTCCTTTTGGCGTGAACGGCGGATTGGAAGGGTCTCGCCAGTTTCTTAATAGCCACATGCATGTTGGTGCCCCGAACCAGTGCCTTCGACACCTGTCCATAGGCCCCCGAACCCACGGGCAGCAGTTCCTGATATATCTCCGGGATCTCCCATTCCGTCCTGTTTATGTCCAACTTGTGGAATTTCTGCGTTATGGACGCCGACATGGTTTCGCTGGCGCTGGTGAAGGGGCGTCGTCACAGTAAATAATTGGTACCTATCGACGAGATATTAACCACTAAACAGCCGTGCGATCGAAAATACCACGCTGATTACGTTTATCTTGAGGCAGTTCTGCGCCAATGTTTCGGGCCTCTGCTCCACGCCCAAGATTATTAACAACTAAGCACTGGCCGCTGGCATTATTTCCTATATTTGCGCTATTACTCCATTCCGACGCGTTAGGAATCCGTGAATCAGAATCGGACAAGTCGCTCGATCGGTGGCGAAACATATATGCCCTACGTCTAAATATAAGTGCATGTTGGGGATCATTAAAATAATCATTTAAGACTATGTGAACTTAAACAAAGAACTATTTACAGTTATAAAGGCACAGAAAAAACTTGAACTCTCTGGACTTCAATTATTCTCTGGAACACTTATATAATAAATTACCAAAATACAAAAAATTGTATTCAATTTTTAAATGTATAAATAACTCAAACGCCCACATCCGTGATTGTACCGCATATAAATAAAAATAAACACATGGCGTTGCCGGACCGTCAGTTTTTAAGCTGTTGACAGTGCGACGAATATTTATCGAATGTAGATTCAAAACAGCTGTTTGATGTTTTTTCTGCGAATTCTTCCCCCACCACCCCCTGACCCATTTTCCGATGCACTTTTCGTTTGCTTTGAATAAAAAAAATCCCAGCCACTGCTCGCGCCTGCGCAGTTGCACCGCCGGACTTATCAATACGTTAATCTAATCGTGCCTTAAACACAGCCTGACATTCCGAATCGCCATCCCACATCGAACGGTTAGTTTCGCACCGAAGCCGCTCCCGCTCGCATCGTAACCTAGAAAAAGTGACTGTAAGTGGATCGACAGGAGTTCATAAATGATAGTGAATAAATTAGCGGTATTAAACATAAACATTACAAGGTTTAACTAGTGTTTACGCAGAACATTAAGTGCAAATTATGCGGGGGACCTGTAGGATGTCAACCTATCGGCGGCGAACTACGACCTTTGGAACCTGGACTGGCAAACATGCAGATTTTCTATAATCCACTATCTCAGATAGCACGGAACATGGTTAACATCGATAGAAACTTTGGCTGAAGTAAAAGATCTACGGTCCGAATACGATAAGATAGCCCCGGGGGTTCAAAGTGTGGTAATTAGTGTACAAGAAGCACAGTAGTTTCAAGGGTTGCTACAACTTCCACCCCTATAGCCGCTCCAGGGAATAAGTTTTCTTAACAATTTGTTTTTACATATATTGGAAAATTTTCTGGTAGATAAAAAGCTATTATCTTGTATTACAACCCATTATAAATTGCAAACCTTTAACTGTCTGTCCTCTTTGCAGTAACAAAATGACTTCGACTCTACTTCCGGGAAACATCGTGTATGGCGGTCCTGTGACCGAACGGGAGGCGCAGGACTACAGATCCCTGGGCCAGTACATCCTGGACAAATACAAGAGCTTCGGCGACCAGTCAGTGCTGATTGATGCCGTCAATGGAGTGGAGTACTCGGCCAGCTTCATGCACAAGTCTATTGTCCGGCTGGCCTACATCCTCCAGAAACTGGGAGTCAAGCAGAACGACGTCATCGGTTTGTCCAGCGAGAACAGCGTCAACTTTGCCCTGGCCATGTTCGCCGGCTTCGCAGTTGGAGCTACGGTGGCTCCTCTCAACGTGACCTACTCCGACCGCGAGGTGGACCATGCCATCAACCTCTCCAAGCCCAAGATCATATTCGCTTCCAAGATCACCATTGATCGGGTTGCCAAGGCGGCGAGCAAGAACAAGTTCGTCAAGGGCATCATCTCCTTCGGCGGAAGTTCCAACAAGTTTAAGAACATTTACGCCCTTAATGAATTGATGGACAACGATAAGTTCAAGACACAGCCGGATTTCTTAAGCCCAGTGGCCAACAAGGAGCAAGATGTGACCCTGATTGTTTGCTCTTCGGGCACTACCGGACTGCCAAAGGGAGTTCAGTTGACCCAGATGAATCTGCTGGCCACCCTCGACTCCCAAATGTAAGTTTAAAAGATCGGTTACGAAAGGATTTTGTACTGAAAGCTCTTTCCTCAACAGCCAGCCAACCCAAATACCCATGGAGGAGGTCACACTGCTCACTGTCATTCCCTGGTTCCACGCCTTTGGCTGCCTGACGCTCATAACCACCGCCTGCCGGGGAGCCCGCCTCGTGTATCTGCCCAAGTTCGAGGAGAACCTCTTCCTCGCAGCCATCGAAAAGTATCGTGTGATGATGGCCTTCATGGTGCCACCGCTGATGGTCTTCCTGGCCAAGCACCCAATCGTGGACAAGTACGATCTGTCCTCCCTGATGGTCCTGCTGTGTGGAGCAGCGCCACTGAGTCGCGAGACCGAGGATCAGATCAAGGAGCGCATCGGAGTACCATTCATTCGGCAGGGCTACGGTCTTAGCGAGTCCACGCTGAGTGTGCTGGTGCAGAACGACGAGTTCTGCAAGCCCGGCAGTGTGGGCGTGCTCAAGGTGGGAATCTACGCCAAAGTCATTGATCCCGATACCGGCAAGCTCCTGGGAGCCAAAGAGCGGGGCGAGCTGTGCTTCAAGGGCGACGGCATTATGAAGGGCTACATCGGAGACACCAAATCCACGCAGACGGCCATCAAGGACGGCTGGCTGCACACCGGCGACATTGGCTACTACGATGAAGAGTTTGAATTCTTCATTGTGGACCGCATCAAGGAGCTGATCAAGTACAAGGGCTACCAGGTGCCGCCTGCCGAGATTGAGGCACTGCTGCTCACCAACGACAAGATAAAGGATGCGGCAGTCATTGGTAAGCCGGACGAGGAAGCTGGCGAGCTGCCGCTGGCTTTCGTGGTGAAGCAGGCCAATGTCCAGCTGACCGAAAACGAAGTTATCCAGTTTGTCAACGACAACGCCTCGCCCGCCAAGCGACTAAGGGGTGGCGTGATCTTCGTGGACGAAATTCCAAAGAACCCCAGTGGCAAGATCCTGCGTCGCATCCTGCGCGACATGCTCAAGAAGCCAAAATCCAAGTTGTAAGGGGATCGCTCCCCTTTTGGGTGTGTGTACAAACAATTTACTATGTGTATGTTTTATTATTGCTAAACTTTGTTTTATAAACTACCAACTGTTTGGGTTTCGATTTACTCATATTTGGCTTTTCTTTCGAAGTTTTCGCTTAAAACTTAAATACAAATAAAAACTGCTGGAATTCGAATGTGACAGATTCTGTGTGAACTCGCTGGAGCTTGGAAAACGCAGCTCCTGGTTGAATTACGTTAGATGTCCGAACTATCAATAACAAGTTATATATAAACAACTACATACATTCGTTCTCAACTTTTAACAAACTTGTCTTCTGTTTTTTCCCATATTGTTGTCGCTTTTATATAGACTCATTATTAATTTCGTATGGTGTATACATATATATATATATATATTTATTTGAAATATTTAACTACTCTTCTGCTCTGCTTTGTAAATAGTTGTTTAACATTTTTTGTTTATTTTTGTTTGGGAAAAGTTGTATTTTTCGCTAAGTCGCAGTAAATTGCATGTATTGGATTCATTTGTGTTTTCGGTATATAAAGAGGTTTGGTTTATATGTCTGTTCTCTAGCATTAGTTCACTAATTATTGTGTATGAAACCTTAAATGTAAAAGAAATGCCTTGGTTTCTATAACGGAAATATCATAGTTTGTGTAAAATCCCACTCTGCCCATCCAGCACCTGCATCTCGCTCCTGCTCCTGTTTCCGATTCATTCTAGCGGCGCCGCTTACTGTGCCTCCTTACAGTACATACTTATTGTTGCAATGCTAATCGACTTGGTGCATGACTTACACTTAAACCTAGTTGACAAATTAGATGCGTAAATTCAGTTGCTCACTTCGTTAGTTTCCTTCGCTTCGACTTTACATTTACAAAGTTAAATAAGACGGTGCAGTTTAAAATTAGCTCGCTCTTTCTTCTTCTACTCCTTGGGGCATTTCTAGTTTCCTTCTTTTGGCACAATCTTGACAACAAATTGGTTACTCTGATTGTCACTTGTGAACAAAACTAAATTGTGTTTCTAAGTATGTTTGAGTGTGAGTGTCTTAATATATTGCTAAAATTGTATTTTGATCCCTGGGACCATATAAAAGTCGAGAGACTCCAACCACAGCAGAGCGCAATGGTAATTGCAATCGCATGATGACTGGTGAGAATAATGGATACGGACCGCCGAACCCGAGTTCTGCCTAAGGCGAAGAAGATGATAGCAGCAGACTCAATGAGCTGCCACGATTAGTTTCCGATGCTGCCGAAGATCACACAATTATCTCCATGCGGTTCGCCTTGCGCGTGACCTTAGGTGGGCCTTGTGCTAGGTCCGACATGCCGCCGTATTTGAACGAGAAGATGACAGTTTGTTGGCCGAAATTAGCTTCAAATCTGAAAGTTTAATGCAGTTAGATGTGCTTACTAATAACACCTATTTTTTTAGTCCTTACTCAGTGCTTATGTGTATCTCCGGCGGTTTGCCTGTGGCATTTTGTATGACTAGAAACATTTTGGTCACGATTTCAATTACATGACCCGTTTGAAAAACGAAGTCTCCCTTTTTCCGTCCAAACTCAGACTGGAAAACATACAATTAATCGACGATTTTAACTATGAATTAACTGATTCATACCGCCTTTACGTGGAACACAGCAATATCATCCAGGTAGGGGCTCAGAGACATCCGGTAAATCTCCGATGCAGGCACTCTGTACTTGATTTGCAGCGTTCGCTGATCCAACAGCAGCAGCGATGAGGTGGACAATACCAGCAAAATGGGCACAAACTGAAAACAAGCAATATGATTCTAAAAAAACCTACTATAAAGTCGAATTAAAGAGCTTACCTTTCCACTGGACCGCGCTATCTTGTTGATTATATCTGCAAAGACCACATACTGATCGTTAGTCTCGGCGCAGATCTTCTTCCACTGCTGGTTGTGGCGCAGTCGCACATAGTCGCCCACAAATGGATGACCCACGCTGTGGAAGAATAAATAAATATTTATTTTAGGGCAAGAAGCTAAATAAAAATAATCAAGTATATACGTTACCTTCGTGCATAGGATGCTTTTCGGTCCTTAAAGATTATACTGGCTGTGACCTTCTCTCGCATCCGATTGCGTGCTGTCTGGTCAAAAGAGTTCCGATAGACATAGCACTTCCAGCGATGGTAGATGGATCGCAACTGTCGCGACGCATCTGCCAGAAAAACAGGAGCCGCTGGCCATTCCGTAGAAAGCGGGCTCAACGTGTTGGGGGGCAGACGCAGGGGGATAGTCAGCAGAAACTGCTGGATCTTCCACTGGCGGTAGTAACGACCTATCACTTCGATGGCCCATTTAACCTGGCGTTTGTACTTCAAGGACCGATACTCCTCGCGGGCCTAAAGGAAAATAAATAAGTTGTGAGTCAGAAAAAAGCAAAACATATTTTAAAAACGTGAAAATAAGGCATGCAATGCTTACAACACGATATAAACTCCACAAATGCCTACGACCAGTGAAGGGAATGCCAAACCGGCACTCCTAACATGCAGAAAATGAAAGTAAAGTAAAGGACGTCATGCAAGTAACAAATTTCATGGAAATCTGCTCACCCGCCACGTGCGCCAGGCGCTCGAGATGATCATCTGACTGTGCCGCATTCGCTGAAAACGCTTCCTCGCATGGTACATACGAAACATCTTCTGGATGAGCACGGCCAGCTCGCTGATCCGCAGGCGGCGGAACTGCTCCAGTTCGAAAACGGTGCGCGGACTGCGCACGAACACATTCTTGGTGCCGATCGTGAACTCCGCCGAAGGCAGCGGCAAGTTGCGGATAATCAGAGCGATGCCCTCCACCTGGCTGCCACCGTGGAAGTGGGGCCAAGTGAGGCTGTTGAGCAGCTTGTAGCGGTGAAAGAACTTGACGTGCAGCAGGTGGTAGCAGTGGCCGGTGCGGCACAGGTGGACCAGCGGCATCAGTGACATGTAGCGCACCTGGTGCTGCACCAACGCCATGTCAAACTGATGCGGCTGTTTGCCCTCGTTGGGCTTGATGCAGAACACATAGTGGGAGCGGCGGTGCTTCACGATGGCCAGCAGCGTCTGCAGCTGGGTTCGGATGTTCGAGCTTAGCGTGCTGGGCTTCTTGGTGGCTTGCCGGCGGGGATTTCCCTCGGGAAATAAACTCTGCACTAGAGAGAGTTTACTTTGGTAAAAGCCAGCACTGATGTACTTTGGCAGCATGTCCGAATTCTTCTCAAGAAACCGATGTATTGAGTAGTTTACCACACTCGCAAAGTGACGTATTCTGCAAATACAATACCGTGAATGGTTAATATAAATATTCCTTAAAAATATGTTTAGGAACCTACTGAAAGCACATAGAGTTACTGCCGGTGGTCATAAAGTTTGGATGCCCCGCACAACATTGCTGAACTCGCAAAAGCAAAGCCTCGTTGCTATTTAGATGGGATTCGTTGATCAAGCTCAGGATGCCGTAGCTGGGCTTGTCTATCAGCTCACAAATTGACTCATTGTCGAAATAGTCAATCCGCGACCACTCCAATCCTTCTCGGATGTATAGTTCTTGCTCAGAGCGCAGTACATGGAACACAAAATTCTAAAATGGAAGAACGGTTTCAATTAAATAATAATAAAGTAAAATCTCCACAACTGACAATAAGTACATTTAAGTATATTTTAAATATTTCTAAGTAGCAATGTTGACTTGCCTGATGGATCTTCTCCGCACTATAGTTGATGGCAAACTGCTCAAAGGAGTTGTGCTCCTGCACTTCGAATCCATAAAAATCGAGCAACGCCAGGTTCTTTTCGCGCTGAGTCGATTTTAGGGACTCATTTATTTTGTTCACCAGCCAGGTGAAGAGGCGGCTGTAGAGAGTGCGACAGAGAGTGTTTCGGTTGGTGGCCGCTTGTCTGGCATCCATTTCACAACCCACATCCTCTTGAGCGCTGTTCGAGCTATTAGCTCTGGTCAAACAGTTGATTAGGATTTGGGCATCTATATTGAGGAGCTGTGCTGTCTCTTGAACCTCTGCAAATGAAAACGTATTAAGATTATGTCCATTGAAACCCAATTAAAGCATACCGTAAACATTGGACACCTGACAGCCCTCGGTTCCATCAATGTTGGTAATAGGTACGAAAATAAAGTTTCCCAACTTAAGAACAACAGCTATAACCCGAAAAATAGAGTTGCTTTCCTCACAGCTAAGGCCCAGTACATCCAAAGATCGCTGAAATTGAAGAGTAGACATAAGTTATAGTTTATTAGGTGGAACATAGATTGTTTCAATGTATAGCCCACCTTGGTATAATGAAAATTCATACGATCCTCCTCCATGGCAGTTGTGTTGCGCAGAAGCTCGTACTTCTCTACATTTCGATACAGCTTGAGCGCTTCTGTTAAGATTAAATTCTTAGTAAAACTATAAACAGTTTTCAACTTGATATTACTTAGCAACTGAAGATCAGCCCCTAATAGTAACTGGTAAAATATGTGAAAATTTCGCTCTCCAATGACAGTGTCTGTTATACGTGTCTGTGGGCAGAAAATAATTAAATAATAACAATTTTAGTGTTATGAAATTATTTAAACTAGATCAAACCTTTTCCAGCATATCTTAATTGTAAGCACGAACAAAATAAATAGCATCATAAATATTTTTATTTATTTCCAAGGGGTTTTACTTACAGTGGGTTATGTGCACGCCCATCGGATCGCCCTTAAAGTCAATTTCGATATCGAATAACTTTCCCTGAAAAATCAAGAGAAAAAAATAGGTTAAAAAAATGATAAATGATAAATTTTCTAATCTTACGCTACTTACATATCGGCTGGAATTGTTATTCTTCAGCGTGCAGGCGTTGCCCATGGCCTCCAGGAACACATCCGCACAGGTGACGCACTCGCGCATCCTCTGCGTTGGCGACTTGTGGCGCCTGTGCAGCGACGAGCTGGCCGAGGGCGTGGGTGAAACGGAGCTGGGCGGCGGGGGCGGCAGATCGCCCAAGACCTTGCTCAGCTTGTGTGCATCGTACAGCGATATACGTTGCGTGGAGCCCATTAGGGAGCATCGATCCCGGTCACGTTCCCGCTCCGGCTGGCTCTCAGTTGAGTGCTGGCGAATCAGGTTGGAGCAGCTGCCGCGATGCGGATGAGCCGGGTGGGCGGCGGTGGACAAACGGCTGGTGCTGCCTCGCAGCTCATCCCGCTCCTCTTTCTCCAGACTCTGGGCACGGACGCACTTGCTGTGGCCGCACTGGCGACAGCCGCCGTAGACGGAGGGCACGGCATACTTGGGCGAACCCTTGGCAGCCGGGGGCATGGCAGTGCAGGCGCCCACTTGGGTCTGCTGGTGCTTAAAGCACGACTTGGTCGGGTGCAAGTGGTGGGCATTCGATTCGAGCAGGCTGCTGATGTTCTCGCTACTCTTGTGGTGCGAGAAATCAAAGTCGACGATCTTCTCGCGCATGTGGCGCCTGCTCTGGCGCTCAATGCTCTCAGCCCGCGTCCGCGAACGCTGCGAAGGTCCTGGCGAGGGGCTCTGTCGCCGCGAAATAGTGGCCGGCGGATTTTCCGCCCTGTTCTTGCATATAATAAAGTTGGCAGTACCGGAGCAGCTGCTGGAGGCGCGCCTGTGGGCGTGCGGCACCAACCCGCTGTTCGAGCTGATCGAGGATTGCTTTCGCAGGACATTCGGTGTGGCGGGGCAGTGCGAACGATCCTGTATGTGGGTCAGAAAGTTCACGATCATTTTGAAGGTCTCCGTCTTGCCCGATCCGCTCTCGCCGGTGAGCAGTATGCACTGGTCCTCGCTCTGATCCTTGAGCGACTGGTAGGCCAGATTTGTGAGACCATAGCTAGGGTGATTGACAACATATTATTAAGTGGCGATGGTGCACACCGTTCGATGATTACTTACATGTGGGGCGGCAGCTGGAAGATGCCCTTGTCGCCATAATTGCGGACGTTGTCTAGCGAGTGCTCGGATATGTGATGATATGGATTCAGAGCCACAACAGAAGTTCCAATGTAGGTCTGCAAAGGGGAATTTACATATTTATATATGGGATTGTATGGGAATTTGGGCAATGTAGGACTTACATATATGTGATCGCGCTTGTAACGCTGGTGGATGTTGTTTATGAAGCTATCCTCGGACAGGTTCTCCAGCAGCACCGAGTCCCAGGTGCCGATTTCCTGCTCCATCGCGATTTCCTGCTCCAATTACAACAACATGCACATGCACGGCAGTAGTGACAACAACGGCAAAGGCCAAAATCGGGCTCAGCATTTGAATTTGAATACATCAACTGCAAACGGGGCCAAAACGAGAACGGTGGGTTGGGGAAGGGGGAGGGGGGTTGTTAATGGCTCCAAGAATTGCATAATTTATCGCGGGCCTGCTTGCATCTGAGCGAATCCGTGTTTTGATTTTGTGATTCAATTATTGATTTTCATGTGCTGGCGAGCAACAGCCTCGAACTCGTGTTCACGCAGATATATCCCGCAGATGCAGTCCGGTTTTCTATATCCTTAATTGCACGAATATCAACTGTCTTCTTTGAGCTCCGGATTTGAGAAAATTTGGCTGTACTCGCCACGATTTCCACATTTTGTTTACCTTTTCAGAAAAGACATTTTGCATCCAATGGGTACTAGTGGTGGCCCAGACATCGATAACACAATCGATGTGGATTCTTGGCGAGCTATCGATTCGTATACCCTAGCGAAGACTACTTTGATTTTTATCAGTTTGTGAATATTGTTTATATGTAAATTGTAGGTTAGCCAAAGCTACTTGTAGTTTAACTACCTTTAGAACATCAATACAATATTTAAAATTTGTCTTTTAATCCTTCATAAATCTGTAATTTGAATTTATAAGTTTGTACGATATCAGTTCTTTAAAATAAAGACAATTTTTACCTATATATATATATATATATATATATATAACATTTAACATATTTGTAGGGTATCAGAAGCTTCGACATGCGCAGTAAACAACTGTTTGTTGTCATCGACGGGGTTTGCATCGCTATTATTTCAGATAGAGCAGACCATGAACACCGACGAACGAAACTTTCGATCCAGCTACTATGAAAAGTGCCTGATCAACAGCGTAGAGGAGAAGAAGTCGCTAAACAAACTCCTCCAGGATGACGTCCGCAACCTGAACAAGCTTAAGCAGTTCTGCATGAACTACACAGTGCCCAACATCCACAGGAGCTATCTATGGGCTCTCGTCATGGGCATTCAGCCGCTCCACAAGGCATCTACGGCATACATTCGCGACCAGAGGCGCGAGATGTACGAGGATCTGCTGCGGGCCGTGACTGTGCTTCGGTGTGCCGACCAGAAGGAGAAGGAACTGGTGATGCACACCATGTGGCTGCTGGAGTCCAATCGACTGTGGCACGGCAATGCAGGTGCCAGTCTGCAAGCGGACGACACACACTTCATCGAAATCGTGCGTACCCTGCTCCCGATATTCAACGACGACGTGGAGACCTATTGGATAGCCAAGGGATTCTACAAGTACACCCGAGAGCTAAAAAAGGAGTGCGGCAAGCTGAAGGAGCAGACACAGATTATGCTTAAGCGCGAGGATCAGTCCTTATTTAAGTGGGTTACCAATTGGTTAGTGTTGCACATCAAGTAACTTCTTTATCTTTATGTTAGCCACCTGGAGGAGTTGGGCCTGTTCGATGGCAACTCAACGCTGCTGGACAACTGGTACATAACTTGCTTTGCTGGCGTCATCTGCGAGAATGTTTTGGTTAAGATCTGGGACAAAGTCTGTGGTGGCTCCCGCAAGATTGTGGTTTTCCTTTTCGTAGAACTAGTCAAGGACATCAAGTCCCTATTACTTAAGCAAAAATCGCTGACAGACGTCAAAAGACTGATAGAAACGGTAGGTTTTTCCTTAATCAGCTTAATTACTCTTTGGTAATCAGAAATCCTCGTTAGGTGAAGGATATCGACGGTGTCATCGTAAACAAGGCCATCAAATCTCTACAAAACAACAGCAGCGAAGTCGAGTACACTCATTAAGTAATTCTACAACATTTTTATATCGGACATATAAGGAACCAAAGCAACTAAATGTATTTGAAGACCACGTCCTTTTTGTCACCCACCGTCTGCAGTTCCAGCGTCACGGGGCACTGCATCCAGTAGGAGAGCAGCTCCTCCGTATAACCGATGAGGAAATACATTTTACGCGGGGTGATCGCCTGCCTGATGAGGGCCGCAATCCGAATGGAGTTGTGCTGTCGCTTGATGATGATTTCAGAGCAGACAAGGGCGTGCCAGGTGCCAGTGACGAACTTCCGGATGAATACATCCTCGATGGCGGTCTGGGACGGACGTTGGGCATCCTTTAGCGTTGCTAAAAAATTAAAGGGGCTTGAACATAAATCTTTAATAAACTGTTCCTCCAACTCACATGTGTTCCAAGAGTTCCAGGACTTGCGGTGGCCAATAAAATGCGGAGGATTGGCCATCTCGTAGGTGAGCGCCCTGTTTCGCTTTGTGGTTATGCGGTATCGCCCTGATTGCACGCGACAGCACACGGCGCTTGTGTGGATACTTGACCGGCTGAGCTGCTGCACCTCCGCAGCCACCTGGGGCACCAACTGCATCGGAAGTGGAGTTTTTAAAATGTATAGTACATGTTTTTTATTATTCTTTAACTCACCTTTTTCAAGAAGTTCATTATATTCCGGCGAAACAATTTTGCGTCCAGCAACAGCTGATTGACGTGACGTAACGGTTTCCTAGAGGTGGACAAATACATGTTGAAGAGTGCACTCGATATTTGTGTTCACAAATTAAAAAATATATATACCCAAAGGAAAAAGGAGGCGATCGTATTTAAAATTTAAGGATGTATTGTTTTTGTAATATTTATTTATAAAAATAATGTTTAATGCATCCGGGCTTAGTTATATTTGTTAAGCCGTTTTATTTGTGTTTCAAATTACGCGCCCACATCTATTTGGATCTCGATACAATCGAATAAGTATCGATTTTTTTGGTCTCAAGCCCAACAGTGTTGCCAAATAATATTTAAAAAATTTAGCTTAATCTGTAAAAATCAATTTATAATAACTGTATATAATGATTTATTTTTTTTATTGATAACAATGTTTTGTCTTGACCGACGTGTGCATGTTTTTAAATTAGCTATAGCCATATCGCACGACATATCATGAACCTGCAATGTGGACGCCGCTGAATATAAACAGCTATAGCTACGAAATTGCTAAATTAGCATCACTAGAGCGCTGAGCCTGCGCGCTTGGAAAATGGCTTAAACGCAGGCCATCTCAAACAAAGATCGAGGATTTCAGATCAAGTGAACTACCTGTTGGAGCGACAGTGAAAAAGGACCCTTACCGGAGCGGTACTGAAACAGGACTCTTCCTGGAACTCCTGCTACCTGAATGTACTAAACGCAGTGGAACTAGAACTGCAGCGGAAACATTTAAAGACCATGACGCTGAACGAGAGCGACGCCACCCGCCTAGAACTGACGCGCAACTTCCTGGAGCTGTCCCGCAATCCGGAAACATGTACCGCCCTGCGCAGCTCGGACTGCATCCAACTGCTGGTGCAGATCCTCCACGCGAACGACGAAGGTCTCTCCACGGCGCGAAAATACGCCAGCCAGGCGCTTCACAACATCGTGCACAGCCACCCGGAGGAAAAGGAGCGCCAGCGGGAGGTGAAGATGCTGCGACTGCTGGACCAGATCCTTGACTATTGCAACTTCCTGCGCACGCAGCTGCAAAGCGGGGGCGAGGCCATAGCTGATGATGAGGATCGGCATCCCCTGGCGGCCATGAAGCTATTGATGAAAGCCAGCTTCGACGAGGATCACCGGCAAACCATGTGCGAACTAGGGGCCCTTAAGGCGATCCCCAACCTGGTTCATCTCGATCATGCGGTCCATGGACCAGCGGCTGCGGGCAGGGAACAGTGCAACGCTTTGAGGAGCTACGGCCTCATGGCCCTCACGAATCTCACCTTCGGGGATGAGAACGTCCACAACAAGTCATACTTGTGCGGCCAGCGTCAATTCATGGAGGTGGTCATCGCCCAGCTAAACACGGCTCCAGATGAACTGCTTCAGGTGGGCTTAGTCTAGGTCTTAAGTCAAAAACTTTTTTGAAATTGTATGTATGTTTTAAGGTCCTTGCTGGAGTGCTTCGCAATCTCTCTTGGCGCGCAGACAAACATATGAAGACTATCTTCAACGAGCTCGGTACAGTGACATCCTTGGCCCGGGCAGCCATGCAAAACAAAAGCGAAAATACCCTGAAAGCCATACTCTCTGCCCTCTGGAATCTGTCGGCGCACTGCAGTACGAACAAAGCGGAGTTCTGTGCTGTGGACGGCTCACTGGCGTTTCTGGTGGGAATGCTCAGCTACGAGGGTCCGAGTAAAACACTTAAGATAATTGAAAATGCGGGAGGCATACTGCGGAACGTTTCCAGCCACATTGCTGTGTGTGAGCCCTACCGCCAAATCCTGCGCCGACACAATTGCCTGGCCATTCTGTTGCAGCAGTTAAAGTCGGAGAGTCTCACCGTGGTTAGCAACTCCTGCGGCACTTTATGGAACCTCTCGGCCCGCTGTCCCGAGGATCAGCAGTACCTCATCGACCACAATGCTATTCCCCTGCTGCGCGTCTTGATCAGCTCCAAGAACTCCATGATTGCCGAGGGCAGTGCCTCGGCTTTGAAGAATCTAGTAAACTTTAGAGCCACTTTGGAGCTTATGCCCAATGGAGATGGTGGCTCCCTGCCGCTGGACAAGGAGTCAGGCCATGGTGGTACCCTACCGCGCAGGTTCAGCTCACTGCGACTCAGCTCCAATCCTACAGGATCGCTGAAAAAGGTACGACCAACAACAGTGAGCACGACTGGTTTCCTCAACAGAAAGTGTGAGAGTCGGGAGTCCGTTTACTCGGGCAAATCCGACTCCACTAAATACTCAACCAAGTCGGAGGGAGCCAAGAATGCATTTGAGATTGTCACACCTACAGAGGAACAGCCAATTGACTACTCCATGAAGTACATGGAGCACAAACCCAATAGCAGTAAGACCTTTGATATTGACTTGGACCAGCCCACAGATTTTAGTGCTAGATATAAGGAAAGACGATCCGCTCAGTTGGCACAGCCAGAGCTGAAGACGGAGACTGATGAGATAAGGAACAATGAGTTGCAACTGGCCAAGTCCTCATCGGCCACGGAGCTGCGAAATGGTCCAGGAAATGTGACGGTTTCGGCATCCAAGCAGAAACTTACCACCGAAGCGGAGACGGAGACAGCAGAGCGACCGATCAACTACTGTGAGGAGGGAACCCCCGGCAGCTTCAGTCGCTTCGATTCCCTCAACAGCCTGACTGAAAAACCGGAAAAGTGTTCGGCTCCGAAGACGCCAACGAAGCCCACAATTCAGCCGGGACAACTGGACAACCGGAATACGTCCCAAAACATTGACTCTGCTCTGGAAACTCCACTAATGTTCTCGCGTCGCAGCTCGATGGACTCATTGGTAGGCGATGACGAGACCATTGCCTGCGAGGATAATGGATCCGTGATCAGCGAGTACAGCCGGATGCAAAGTGGCGTCATATCTCCCTCGGAGCTGCCCGATTCGCCCACCCAGAGTATGCCGCAGTCGCCGAGAAGGGATCGAAAGGTGCCCATTCAAAATAACTCTGAGACTCCTGACCGGAAGTCTGGCAATGTGTTCGAGGACAAGCTAAACAGATTCCACGTAGAGCACACGCCTGCCGCCTTTTCCTGTGCCACCAGTCTTAGTAACCTGAGCATGTTGGATGACTCCAATGCAAACGCCATTCGAGAACAGCGTACAAATGACATTAACGGAAATGGAGACGCTCCTCGTAGCTATTGTACGGAGGACACTCCGGCTCTGCTTTCCAAGGCGCCCAGCAACAGCGATTTGTCCATTCTGTCCATACCGAACGATTTGAATGCCAATGAAGAACCGCCAGTGCCAGCGCCACGAGCAGATGTGCCCGGCCTGGACTCTCGGATTCCGGCTGAAGATGCCATTTCCAAGATGCGCTGCGGCGCATTACCCAGTTATCTGCCAGTGTCGGATGAGATGAGCAAGTACTATGTAGAGGATAGTCCCTGCAACTTTTCGGTGATCTCTGGCCTCTCCCATCTTACGGTGGGCTCTGGACGAGCAGGACCGGTTACAAAACTTCCCATGAGGGCTTCGGAGCCACAGGCAGAGGCACCCAAGTTGCCTCCCAGACGGAGTGCAGTTCAAAATGAAGCAGAGCCATGTCTACCGCCCAAGAGAAGCGACTCGCTGAGCTCGCTATCCATGGACTCGGATGATGACTGCAATCTACTCAGTCAGGTAAGGAAATGGAGAAACTTTCTTTGATTAGGGGAAATTTCGTTTAACGAAATCAAAGTGAGCTGATAAACTAGCCAAATCAGAATTTCTTGTCTTTGTTAAAGTGAAGGAAGTAAAAATATTCTTACTAGGCATTGTCTGCTCCTATTACATGGGCGAACACAAACTCGAACTACAGTCTTAAGTTTTTTATATTTTCACTTGATATATTACTTTTTACAAAAGTATCGCAGACCTTTCTCACTTAAAGGAAAGTTACTGACTGGGCTTGAAATGGAATGTAGCTATTGGTTAAAAATATAATCCCAATGTCACCAAAATTATAAATATTGTTCTTTAATTTTATAGGCTATTGCGGCAGGAAGCTGTCGGCCACAACCCAGTGGTGCTAGCACTAGTTCCAGCCTGGCCAATGCCAGTACCAGCACTCTGACCAGGACAAATGGGCAAAAAAAACAGCCGGAGGAGGGCGATAAACCGAGCTACAGCTCGGATGACTCGCTGGACGACGAGGACGACGATGCGAGGTCCAAGTCGCTCTTTGAGCAGTGCATCCTCAGCGGCATGCACAAGTCCAACGACGCTTTGGAGTCGGAGGGAGAACCGCCGGGGCAGCGGCAGGAGATGAGTGCCCGGGATAGGTTTGTCAGCAACCAGGTGCGCCAGATTGAGTCCATGTTAGCCGGACGCCAGCACTAGCATCGGGTGTGTGGTTAAGTGAGAAGCGCATGCGTTTGTTTGGTGGCTTTTAATCTTGTCTATGCAATAATATTCTCACGGTCTCAATTTTCCTATAGTTCAGATTAAAAATTTGCACTTAAATTTAACTCTCCAACACGTGTAATATTATGTCTACCCTCTCAAGAAAATTTTCATACGGAAACATTAAGGAAACTTAAAGGGTGATAAGAAATGGGATACAGTCGCTGTATATAAATAAGTGGGGTTCAACTGAGGTCCGGGATACTCCCAAAATTATGCTCAGATGGACTAGCTCCAGGGCTAGAGAGCTCAGTAGAAACGTTTTCGCGCATTGCGATCTTTGAAATAGGAGATGGCGAAGATGGCCACAGCCGCCGCCACGACCACCACGAACAGAAGGATGAAGAAGATTTTAGCGTTGGACATGCCCGGCTTGGGATCCTCCTTGTGCTCACGCGGCGGCTCGAAGGTCTTCGCATTCGGTATGATATTGGTGCGTCGGATAATCTCGTCGTGCTGTGAATGAAAGAAAATTGTGGTTTATTGAACAAGTAAAGCTAAGCTGGTTTCGAGTAACATGATATTCATATAATAATAACACTCATCTTTATCGTGTTTGGTTGACAAACATTTTGTAGCTTTTGAAAGATTAATACGATTTGAATTTTAATTTGAAATCAATCCGTGTGTTTGACGCCTCCCTGCTAAATTATCGCAAGTTGGTGCAATTAAAAACAAGTTCAATCTTTTTTTAGAAGCTTGTTGCTACCTATAGATATAATGACTTAACCCGGCTTTCGGGTTCCTTGCACTCTTAAGCCGATAAGCAGGCAGCTGAGTCAAGCGTATTCCCCTTCTGGGGTAAACTTACATTTAAGTTGGAGTCCAGGTCGTAGAACTTGAAGCTGTGGATGTCGTGATTGTCGGACAGATCGCCTGTCGTGGCCGACATGCCGAAATGGTAACCCGTGGGCAATTCCACGTTGGCGACGACAAAGCAGCTCTTCCACTCGTTGCGGTTTTCCAGATCCGTCGACACCGACAGTATGTCGTTCTCGTACCGAATGCTGACCAGCGTCTCGTAGTCCACATTGCGGAAGCGGACTTCGCAGCCCGCCAGCTGGGTGTGCGTTCCGTCGCGATCGTGGTCGTAGCTCCAGCTGCCATTGTTTACCATGGCACTGAGATATGGATGTTGGTGCTGCAAATTAAAAATTAATAAAGGTTTTCCATAGGCTAAAGCTATCATACATTGTGGGGGCCATTGTGGTTGCTGTAGGTATCCAGGATGATGGCCAGTCCGGAGAAGTGGTCATTGCTGCCAAAGACTGGGCCTGTCTTCATCCGCTCCTTGGTGTACCAAATGGCAAAGCCGTCGCCGAAGAGTTCAGTGCCCTTGCCGTGCACCTTGAAGCCCACATGCACCTCCCAGTTGCGGGTCATCACGGGCTGGGCGTAAACCAGTATTAGGATTACTCATAAGGTCAACGATAGATCAACCCTCCTGCTTACCGTGTAGTTCCAAAGGGCGCCGCTCTTGGACTGCAAGTCCGGAGTCAGTCTTATGTAGTTGCTCGTCACCATTGTGTTGCCCAGGAAGTCCCAGTGTGGCAGTACCACGCCCACGCCTGGAAGATCAAGCCACGTTAGAGGTACACGTACTCCACCTTATCAGAGCTCATAAACCCACCTTGAAATGGACGCACTAGACTGTGCTCCCGCTTCATGTAGTCCGGCTCCCTGGGATTATCCACATCGGCCAGAACCGCAAAGGGGGCGACGAGAAGCGCCAACAGCGCCAGGGAACGGTGTGCGCGTAACGACTTGGTCATGGCTGCATTCGGTGTCCCAGTTGGATGAAGCTACACGGAAAATAATATTTGCAGACAATTTTTTTCGCCGGCCTTTTAGTGGTGAGCAACTGTGATTCATTAACGGTGGTTGGCAACTATCGGAGGCCTATCGATTGCAGGTCTGACGGCACTTCTGTGTTCTGTTATCGAAACTGCCTATCAACCGTTAGCACAATTACCTATTAAATTTAAATAGTTAAAAATGCTCGAGAATGTGTTTTTATAGGGCTTAAGCTATATTGTTTATTTTAAGTAAACATTAAAATCATTAAGATAGATAAAAATACTTTCTAGTACTGATAGTAAGATTTATAAAGAAAATAATGTAGGTATTAAATATAAAATTAAATTAACAAACAAACATTTAGTTTATGTTAACTTATTTAAAGTCTTTTAAAAACTTCTATTAATCTATTAATATTTTTTTTTTTTTTTAATTTATATAAAGTAAAGCTAGCACTCATAAATTATCTGAATAAATTTGAAAGTACAACGTTGTTGCTTATTGTTTTTGTTCATGAAATTAATTTCATATTTACTTGTTTGCTTAAAACTTGACTATTTTTATAAGCTCATCCTTTCAAATTGAATTTAATTTCGAATCAAATAAGACTTATTAAGAATTTGGAAAGGTTTTAAATATGAAAAAAATTTGTAAGTAACTTTCTTTCTTGGGAAGAAAAATTAAAAGTAAAGTAATAAATTCATCAGCTTTAAAAGAACTTATAAATCAATATTTATGACATATGTGAAGTCTTTGTGATAAAGTGGCTGTTTTTGCAATTAATTTTTTACAATTTTGTCCAAACAAATGTGGGACAATTTGCAGGCAATAAATTGTTACGGAAGTGCAGCTAATACAACTAAACTGATGAATGCAAATTATGGTTTTGGACAGTTTCCCTTTTTTTTGGCGCTAAATTCACGCGTCCAACCAGTTTGACTTTTTAATCGGTTTGGCTCGGATTACAACGCCAACAACGCACAGCCCGTTTGTCATGGTGCGAGACAATTTTATGGCTTATTGCACACGCACATTGGCGCCTTCACGCCGTGGGTACCGCGACTCTTGGATCTGCTGGTGATCTGGTGGAGATCGGGCGGGAAAACCAGTTAGCCAAGAGTTTTCCTCCTTGGCGTGCGTTGGCCGTCGACTTTGGGGGTCATTGTCAAGGTCGGAGTCGTGAGAACAGGCGGCAAATAATGCAAATGCGGCAGGAACTTTAGAATGCAGCAATAATTCCGATTCAAATGCTCATTGGATGATTCTGATTCTGATTTGGGCACAATTAGCAATGCCGCTAACGGTGCAAGATGTGTCACCTGTGAAAGTCGGCCTGTTGCTTCCTCAAAACGCCGCTAATTGGCATATAACGTGCCTAATTATATCAGTCATTTATGAAATCATTTCACTTTTCACCTCCCCAAACAACTACAGGTGCATTATCTCAGCCAGTTTCCGCTGAGCTGCCGATATATTATCGCAGTCGTTCGTTCTTGTCGCCCCGCGCGATTTGACTTTGACTCACCTGTGCGACTTCGACTTCAACTTCCTCATGGGTTCGAGTGAGATATGGCGGTTATTTCGGGCCCATCATTCTCGATTTCGGGGAGTGGCGGAGGCTCTGAAAGCTCCCTAATGAAAGTTGGGTATTGATTAATGGCCCGTGGGGTCCAGAGTTTTCCCACCCGATCAGCAGCAGGATGTAGCAATTATCATGGTTGGACCATCGCGTCAGCGTCTATTTATAGTGATACTTATGGACCGATAGAATCTGGCAATTAGTAGCTCGCTTAAATGCTCATTTATAAACTACAGCTATCGGCTGTCATGTGCGGACAAGTTCAGGCCCAAACAAGCAGCACTTTTCAATTCCTCAAAGTGGCAATAACCTGGGGCCAGGCCAAGACAGGCCAAATCTGAGGCCGCTCAGCATTTCATTGGCCCGAGCCAATGAATGATTGATAACCCAAACCGCTGCCAAATCAAGCAAAGAAAGCCAGAGTACGCGCAAGGCAATTGGCTAATTGATTCAGCATAAATCAATGGCAATCAACAATTAGCCGCATTAATTGCCTCGCTTACAGCAATCGCAATTGAAACTGAACTTGACCCTCTCGCCGTCGACTGAAGACAATGCAAAAACCGAAGAGAACAGAACGGAAGGCCATTTTTATATTAGACAATACCATTGCATAAAGTTCGATCAGTGGATTACCCTATACTAAGCCAAAAGGTTTAAAAGTGTCTAAAACTGGAGTATCTAAGCCAAATAATAAATAACTAAATACATGCTGAATCTTTGACAAAGTTTATCACTAGGTTAGCATTAAAAACTTAACAACACTAATAAAATTCAACTTAATGAACCAAACTTTTTAAATGTATTATTAAATTATTATATCTAACCTTTGTTACAATGTAACCCAAAATGTTAAGCAACTTGTAATTAATTTGGTTAGCCTACATCAATAAGAAAAAAACATTAAAGCTCATAAAATGTTTATAACAAATTAAAATGGTAGTTAAGTTATTTTTAGCAAATGTCTTATATAGAAATATATAAAAAAATGTTTTAATAAGAAATATAATTTTTCTAATATTCCAGAACGTTTAATCTATATTTTAATAATCTATATTTTAAAATTTTAAAAGATGTCCTCAATACAAATAAAAAACACTTTCATACTTATATTTCATAACCAACTTTCATACCTTTCAGAGCACTATCCTGGGGAAGAGTATCAATAGTTAGTCAATCACTTCGACTTTGGCGGTTGCAGCCAGCCAAGGAGCATTTGTGGCTAGCTGTGATTTGAACTTGAACTTGCTACTGCTCCCCCCTCCCCTCACTTGGTCGCATAAAACAACTAACATAAAAACTCCAGACCGAACGCATTGTTCGCATAGCATCAAACAAGTGTGCAAATCGTATAAGATTAAAGCTAATCAAGCATGACAAGCATTCCTCATGAATTTCACATTTATCGCTTTTTTTTAAGGGCCACACAGCAGCAAACAGTCGGCCACATAAATGTCAATCGTTAAACGATACACTTAAGGAGGGGGAAAATAGATGCCGCCGGATTCTATGGGGCATGGAATGCCACGCTTCCGGCCGAGAACGAGCGTATTGTGATCATATAATTATGATTCAGATTATGCATATTGCCATTCTTAATCACAGAAGCGAGCAACACGTAAATTGTCATTTAAATCAAACGAATCTCCAGCGAATTTCACGGTCAAGTGGAAGTGACAGAGGCGGAAGAAATTGCCTAATGCCGACGCGGGCCAAGTGGTTGTTGTTTTGTTTTCACCTGCAATCAAGTCAAGGTGTTGCCTGTAGCTTTCCAATTACATATGCTAGATACACGGATTTGCATAGGTATCGGCATCGGCATCGGCATCGGCATCGGCATCGGCATCGCCAGATGATCGACCCGTTTGTGCACCCAAAACGGGTTACCGGAACCAAGACGATGAATATTGATTCGCTAGAAAGTTGAATTTGCTGCGAGTGCTACTGCTACTCCTACTGCTACTGCTACTGCCACTGCAGTTTGCCATCAACATTAAGCACCAGCGATTCCCTTGCAGAGAACAAACATCACGTGGCCCGGGGGTGAAGGCAAAAGCCAAAAGCACGTAGACCCACTGAAAAGCAAAAATAACTCACTCACTCAAAGCCCGGGAAACAAAAAGCCACTCAAAACAAATGCACGCCAGCAGAGCAGTCGACGTTGGCAGAGATCGGGCCATGCTTTATATAAAATCAACTGAGCATATCTGTTGGAATTCATTAAACGTTTTACTGCCACAGGCCGACGTACAGCGGTTCGAAATTCGAGATTCGAGATCCGAGATCCAAAAGCCGAGAGCTCCGCACACGAAATATCCACCGTGTAAGGCCCCAGCTTTTTGGAGTACTATATACTAGCCTTTGGATTCAGTTTTTCCTGGCTTCGCGTGCTCGTCGGTTGCCATCCATAAATAACACACGAAAAACAAACAAAAAAAAGCCATCGAAATAACGCATTAATGCATTTGATTTACGAAACTCGAAACTCAAGAATTTACCAAAAAAACGTCAAAAATTAATAAAATACCAGTCTATTATAAATTCAAAGCTAAAACCGTTTCGTGTCATGCAAATGAAAAGTGCCAGTGCTTAAGTCAGATATATTTCAAATATTTGTTAACTAATTGCAGCTTCTCACACGCACATTAAGCAGCAGCTCAATCAGCCAGCAAATATGAAATTCGTAAGTATTTTTATTTGGTTTCTCTGCGTTAGCTGCAATTCGTGTTGCAAGTTCGTTGCCTAAGTCTTTCGTTTTTCGCGACAATTGTCACAGCATTTGCATGGGCCGCTAATGCCCCGTAATTGTTAACACGTTTGAGCCTCGTTTAAGCCGCAAATGAAGTCAACTTTTTCGGTTTGACAGTTGTCAAATGGCCGCCGCGGTCGACCAGCGCATTGTTCGCTCCCCAAGAATTTTTATTGGGCCCTGGCACTCTAATTTATGGTCCACGGCGTCGTGTGTCAGCGGGCCATGAAAGCCAGGCCACCGCCTCGATATGTCTATATCCATATAAGCCATATAAGTTTATGTGCATTATTTTCGGCGACCATCCATATCCATCCACGTTCAAGGCGCTGAAAATTTGATGAAAATTTGAATGCGTATGGCCAAAATATGCATATTTCGAACAAGGTTTTTCGACATAATTTGATCTTGATATCTTGACTGGATGCTGGGCAACCAAATCAGATTGACTCAATATTTAATGTGTTGAATTTCTTTCAATATCACATTAAAGTTCGTATTTCGAAATTTTTTATTTTCACTTTCGTTTGATTTTGATTAAACCAGTTGTTTTTTATTATCAAATTGAAATGTTTTTGCATTAAAATGAACATTATTCGGATTTAAATTATAATGTTTGCTTAAACAAGGTTTCATTTTATTCTTTCGTTCATATTTGAACTTATATATGTTTCCGCAAATTAAATATTATACAAATTATAACCCGCACTTTGGGTTTTATTATCATTATTTTGGATAACTGTCTTAAAGATTAATTATACAAGTTTTAAAAATTAAATGTGACAAGACAGAAATATTGAAAAGCTCTTGAAATATTTTTACAAGCTTGTTAATTTTTATACCCTTGCAGAGGGTATTATAATTTCAGTCAGAAGTTTGCAACGCAGTGAAGGAGACATCTCCGACCCTATAAAGTATATATATTCTTGATCAGCATCACTAGGCGAGTCGATCTAGCCATGTCCGTCTGTCCGTCCGTCTGTCCGTCTGTCCGTCCATTTATATGCAAACTAGTCTCTCAGTTTTAAAGCTATCTGCATGAAACTTTCCCAAAAGTTGTCTTTCTATTGCAGGTAGTATATAAGTCGGAACGAGCCGGATCGGACGACTATAGCATATAGCTCCCATAGGAACAATCGGAAAAATAAATGAAAAAAAATTATAACTTTGCTGTTTTTTAATTTTTTTGTTTAGTTCTTCGACATTTAGTAATGGTTAAATATTTCCGATTTACGGTTTAAATTTCATCAAAATCGGACGACTATAGCATATAGCTCCCATAGGAACAATCGGAAAAATAAATGAAAAAAATTATAACTTTGCTGTTTTTCAATTTTTTGTTTAGTTCTTCGACATTTAGTAATGGTTAAATATTTCCGATTTACGGTTAAAATTTCATCAAAATCGGACGACTATAGCATATAGCTCCCATAGGAACAATCGGAAAAATAAATGAAAACAAGAAAGAAAGCAAACTTCGGCAAGCCGAAGTTCATATACCCTTGCAGCTATCGCAAGAATTAAATATTTTTGAAAACATTAAAATTATGATTTACTTGCGTATATGTTTAAAAACATTGAAGCTATGAAGATTTGCAGCTTAATTATTTGATTGTTCTTTTATATATTTTCATTATTTGTATAGGAGCTATATGATATAGTCGTCCGATTTTGATGAAATTTAAACCATAATTCTGAAATATTTAACCATTGCTATATGTCGAAGAACTAAAAAACAAATTAAAAAACAGCAAAGTTATAATTTTTTTCAATTATTTTTCCGATTGTTCCTATGGGAGCTATATGCTATAGTCGTCCGATTTTGATGAAATTTTAATCATAATTCTGAAATATTTAACCATTGCTATATGTCGAAGAACTAAACAAAAAATTAAAAAGCAGCAAAGTTATAATTTTTTTTCAATTATTTTTCCGATTGTTCCTATGGGAGCTATATGCTATAGTCGTCCGATTTTGATGAAATTTTAACCATAACTCTGAAATATTTAACCATTGCTTTATGTCGAAGAACAAAACAAAAAATTAAAAAACAGCAAAGTTATAATTTTTTTCAATTATTTTTCCGATTGTTCCTATGGGAGCTATATGCTATAGTCGACCGATTTTAATGAAATTTAAACCGTAAATCGGAAATATTTAACCATTATTATATGTCGAAGAACTAAACAAAAAATTAAAAAACAGCAAAGTTATAATTTTTTTTCATTTATTTTTCCGATTGTTCCTATGGGAGCTATATGCTATAGTCGTCCGATCCGGCTCGTTCCGACTTATATACTACCTGCAATAGAAAGACAACTTTTGGAAAAGTTTCATGCAGATAGCTTTAAAACTGAGAGACTAGTTTGCATATAAACGGACGGACAGACGGACAGACGGACAGACGGACAGACGGACGGACAGACGGACAGACGGACGGACAGACGGACATGGCTAGATCGACTCTACTAGTGATGCTGATCAAGAATATATATACTTTATAGGGTCGGAAACGTCTCCTTCACTGCGTTGCAAACTTCTGACTGAAATTATAATACCCTCTGCAAGGGTATAAAAAATTATAACTTTTCTGTTTTTTATTTTTTTGTTTTGTTCTTCGACATTTAGTAATGGTTAAATATTTCCGATTTACGGTTTAAATTTCAATAAAGTCGGACGACTATATCATATAGCTCTCATAGGAACAATCGGAAAAATAAATGAAAAAAATTATAACTTTTCTGTTTTTTAATTTTTTGTTTAGTTCTTCGACATATAGCAATGGTTAAATATTTCAGAATTATGGTTTAAATTTTATCAAAATCGGACGTCTATATCATATAGCTCCCTTAGAAATAATAAAAATATATAAAATAACTATCAAATAATTGAGCTGCAAATCATCATAGCTTCAATGTTTTTAAACATATACGAAAGTAAATCATAATTTTAATGTTTTCAAAAATGTTTAATTCTTGCAATAGCTGCAAGGGTATATGAACTTCGGCTTTCCGAAGTTTGCTTTCTTTCTTGTTTTAAAACTCATTCAAAAGTAAATACTAATATTCGAAATTTCCCAACTGCTACTGAATTAATTGGATTTAACATTGAATATTTCCAACGCACGATTAGTCACCAGAAGCCGAAATAAAATGTTTTTACGTAGTCTTTGAAAATGGGTAATGCCAAGCGGCTTATTTAACTAATTTTCATAAACGCTGCCTTATTTGCCCATCCTATTCTGAATCATGTCATAATTTATAGGTCAATGAAACTCAAAATTATACGCCTCTAACCAGATTTAATAAGAAGTCTAAAGAGTTTCCGCCCCGCAGTTGGCAATCAAGTCGAGTAGCCCGCAATTACATGGGAAAATGCACGCAAAATCGCTGGCGTACGCGCAAAAACATAAACTCTCAAGTTCACGATGAAGGCCATAAAGATCTGTGATCCGGAGATCGGTGATCGGGGATCGGGGTGCGGAGTTCGCAGACGGCGGGCAGACAGATCGGACAAGAAAACAAGCCGAAAACGTGCTTGGGGGGCATGCGTTTTGTAACTTAATTGAAAAGTGCGATACACACGCGATACAATGCCAAAGCCAAGACCAATTGCCAGTGGCCGCCTGACCAACTTCTCGTGTCCAATTGCGTGTGCCAAGCCGGCTCCCAGCCAAAGCCAAAAGCGATATGGCAAAACCAATAGCTAGCTAAACAAGCCCCAGACGCAGTCATGAATGAATCAAATGAACCGAAGCTGTGCGTGGAAAATTGTGAGAGAAAAACTTAAACATTATGAAAATGCAAGCGGGCATTGCATTGGAAAATGGCTTATGCAATGCACCCAGAGTTGGGTGCTGAAATACAGTGACAGGAGGAGTGGGGGGGGTTAGGGGATATCCAGGCAAAACTGGCACCCTGGGAAACCGCCATCAACGTCGCTCTCGATTAGGATTCGACCATGCACACGAACAAGATTTATTAATTGCTCTCAGCCAACTCTGTTAGTCGCTCTAGCAGATGTCCGTCCGTCGAAAAGTTTAAAGTTTGCTGCCTTTTGCACGCTTTGCGTGTGGAAATTCAAATTAATTGCCATACGTACTCGTACAATTTGATGTCGTACTTTGTATTTTGTATTTTGGATCTGGGTTTTTGGCTTCGGTTGCGCTTGGCTTACCTCTAACTCTAATGAAGATGTCGCGCCGGAAAGTGCCGATTGCTTAATGCCCAAGTACGGGGACGACGACAAGTCCACTCCATGCATAATTACCACTAGCACAGTTTTGCTTTTTTGCCTTTGGGTTTGTCGGATGCAACATCGACACACTCTTTTACAGAAGTCTCGAAAAGTGTTGTGGAAATGATACATAAAAATATCTATAAATAAGAAAAAGTTTAAAAAGGTTTTACATTAGGGTCTCAACTTAAAATCTTGCAATAAATGTATTTATTAAACACTTTTGTCAGCTTTTGAAACTGCTTCATATTTTTTAAGAACTTTGCCTATAAGCATTAAGCTTTTTGCTACCAAACAGTATTAAACAAATAAACAATTAACATTGTACAAGGTAGAAAGAATACATTTTAGTAAACTTCAATCCTATTTGAACTTTTTAAAAGTCCAGCAACAAACATTTTAAATTCCACAGTTATCATTTCCCTTTCACCACCTGCATTGCATATTAATTTAACTATTTAATTGATATGATTAGTTTAAAATGTATAATCTTATTAATAGATTTTCTTCTCCAAAAAATAACCTTTTCAATTATTTAAAATTTAATAAAGAAATATTAAGTTAAAACATTGAAATTTAATTGGAATCATGTTGTTTTACATAAATAATAGATTTTCCGCCTAAAATATGATTTTATATTTTCATATATTCATATATTGGAACGATATCTTTTACCATTTCCAAGCAGAGGCAATTGA